AAGAGGAAATGGTCATCGGCGCTCCGCCTACTATATGGGAAGGATGTCACTGATTGGATGGTCATGTTGCTAGGCGGACATTGCCTATAGGAGGTTTATACCTGCTTTGAATGTTTTTTTTCAATAATGTTTCTTTGCTGCTGAGGGAAAATAAAGAAAGAGTGCAGCATAATACTCGCCTCCGTGTCTTTAATAAAATCATGACTTTCCGTCATGATAATTGTAAAATCCTTGAATTATAAAGTAGTGAACCCCGACCACCCCCTGGCTCATTAAGTACAAACAAAGCAAGAATTAAGTGCTCTCTCTGGGTGGCCGCCGTTTGTATAACCGAACGACACGTGGTGGAGAAAACAGCGGCCATGTTGTCACATGAAAGCAGGCAGCGGGACTTGGTCATCGAGTGTCTGGAACTCCAAGCGCGAACACTGGTGAACCTACGCGAACGCCTGCTTCCTTTCGCGGCAAGCCAGGAGAGCGCTGTTCAGTAGGTTTGTTTGTATGGACCTCACAAACAAACACTATCAATGAGCCAGGTGAACTCTTCACCTTTTTCCTACATTTTGGAACTCCCGAACATGACCGACAGCTACCTCTAAAACTATGGAACTATTTTTGGGCAGGCACCTCGTGAGCGGTCGGTCAAAATTTCACCCCGGTGGCAATTCGGCTGTATTCATGGGATCTGAGCGCTGTTTGGACAACTTGGGCGCTCAGAAACAGGCTTTTCAGGGATATATAAACTATGGGGGTTCCTCTATGCGAAATATGTATTTTCTATAATTTGTCATTTTATGCTTAGTCTTATGCCTTTCCCACGCATGCTTAAACTCTATCACTGTATTAACCTCTTCCACTTCGGCTGGAAGGCTATTTCATGCGTCCACTACCTAGTTATGAATGGTTTACCTCCTTAAGGGTTAGCCAGGGACCTCCTGGCATCATAACAATGTAGTTTGTATGGTGCAGCATGGTCCCTTTCTTGTGGGGCTAATTTGGGTCAGTTTATTCTTTTGTTTCTCAATTTAGATGATATTAAATGCAGTGAATTTTAAGTGATTATGTGCTATCAAATATTCAAAATGTTCTTTGCTGCTGTAAATCTGGCCTTTGGGTAAACAATGATTTTTTTTCCCTGGATGTGATGGTCATAAATGACCATCTACTATGATTATTTACAATGTATTAATCATTGTTTTGAAGACCTCATGGGACACATGAGGACAACAACCTGGTGTGATTCATTTAGGTGCCAGGCCCCATTATACTGATCTCTGGTTGGACAATAGAAGGAGGTGTGAGTGTGTTTGAAAGAAAGATAAGGCATTCTCAGCTGCATTAGTTAACAAACATCTGGCTTCATGCCATACCAGGGGTAGTGATAGAGGGCAACAGCTGAGTACTCTCAGCCAATTGCTGGAATGAATAGGTATATATAAAATAAAAACAATCCTGCACTCCTACTTAACCCCTTAAGGACACAGCTTCAAAAGCTTGTCTTGTACTTAAGGACATAAGCAATTTTTTAATTTTTTGCTGTTTGCATTTTACTAATTTATTGCACTAACACATATTATATATCGTTTTTTAAAGGACAAAAAGGGCTTTAATTTGATGTTACATATACGTATATAAATGCTAATTTATTATAAAAAAAATGCAGAAAAAGTAAAATTATATATTTTGTTTACAGTTTTTGCAATAATAATGTGTGCATAATTAGTGCAGGTTAAGGAAAGTAATTAAAAATACATTAATTTAGTTTTTCTGATTTACAGAATATATAATGTGTCTAGGATTTTAAGTTTTTTTTGGTAGTTACAGGCAGTGGCGTACACACAACCCATGAGGCCCCGGTGCGAAAACTGATCCATGGACCACCCCCAAGCGCTTACTCTGCGCGGGCCGGCGCCGCAACACATGGCAGCGGGCACCTGGTTGCAGGGGTCGCACGGCTGCGACTGCAGTATGTACGCCAGTGCATGGAGATACACATACACTTAAAGGACCACTACAGACACCCAGATCACATCAGCTCAATGAAGTGGTCTGGGTGCCAGGTCCCTCTAGTTTTAACCCTGCAACGGAAAACAGTTTCATTGACAGCCGCTAGAGGAGCTTCCGCACTTATTGAGTTATGCTTTCCTATGGGCGGTTTGAATGCGCGCGCGGCTCTTGCCCCGCATGCGCATTCGGAGCTGAGAGGTGAATTGGGGCGGAGGGATCCCCAGCGCCAAGGGAGTCCGGCGCTGGAGAAAGGTAAGTGCTGAAGACACACACTCTCACGAACAGACGCATACACACTAGCTAACAGACACACACATACTCTCACGAACAGACACATACACACTAGCTAACAGACACACAATTATTGACAGACACACACTCAGTGACAGACAGACACATACACACTCACAAAACACACACTCACTAACAGACACCAAACAGACTCACTAACAGACGCACACAAACTAACACACTCAGTAACAGACACACACAAACTAACACACACACTGACACAAAAACTAACACTAACACACACACACTCTAACACTACCACACACACTAACACACACACTCTAACACTAACACACACACACGGTTTTTTTTTAAATTTAATCCCCCAGCCTCCCTACCTTTGGGAGTGCTGAGGGAATTCCCTGGGGTCCAGTGGTGTTGCTGGGTGGTCACCGGGCAGGCTGGCGGGCGCGAGGGAGCACTCTCGCGCGCCGCGTACTGATGCCAGAGCTGGAATATGACGTCATATTCCTGCTCTGGCATCAGTGCGGTGCGCGAGGGAGCTGGGCAGAGAGCGCTCAGGGGAGAGTGCTCCCTCGCGCGCGCGCCAGCAAGCCCAGTGACACCAGGGCCAGCCGTGGGGGGCCCTGGTGGGCCGGGCCCGGTCGCAGCCGGGACCCCGTTATGTACGCTACTGGTTACAGGTCACAAAACACAAGGAGTAAAATAAACTTTTAATGTGGAGCGATTTTAGAATTTAACATGTTTGTCTTGTAAGCTTAATAGCCATAAAAGAAAACAAAATTGCCACACAAAAGTATATATTTATATAAAGTAGACAGCACAGGCTATTTACCTAAGGTTATTTTGACACTTTTTACATAGACATTTCACTGCCAATCTCTGCTAAAATCCAAAGGGTTGGGCTGGCTCCATACCGACACACCAGTCGCCCGGAGGAGGACATCCGCGGATCCGCCACCGGGGTATCTTGATGTGGTCACCCAGGGTATCTTGAAGTGGTCACCCCCGGTTGCATGTAACGCTCTACATGTCGTTTTAAGGGCACATGTCGGGAATGGGCAGCGTACCAGGGCACATGTCGGGAATGGGCAGCGTAAAAGAGTATGACATTTGTTAGTTTACCTTCTACTAGAAAATCTGCAGCATCTGAAGTTGGGACTCTTGGCTGGGATTACCCCCACCAGCTAGGGGGGGGGGGAGAGCTGGGCCAGGCTACCCATCGTCCTGACTGTCACGAGGCAGTCCTGCAGGTCGAGGCTTTCTTTTGTTCTGGGTGTGCGGCTGCGCTGCCTCGCTTTCAAGGCCTCAAGGGCTTGCCGTGCTCTGGGTGTGCTGTGAGGGCAGACCTGTTTGGTGCAGGGTTGCGGGTTCGGTTTTGCGACATGGCGGTTGATTAATTGTTTGGGCGAGGTTGTGAAGGCGAAAGGCTGAGGCGACGCCGCTGGCTGGCTGGCTCCTCCGTTAAACAAACACGCGCCTCATCATACGCACTCACTGTATCCGCATATACACAGATCCGATGCATTCAATACAGCACATACACATACAATACACACACCATCCATTACACAAGACGCTGCATCAACTACACACACTGCGTCCATTATATACCCTGATACATTCACTACACACTTCATCACTTATACAAACACAAAACGCATTCACTACACACTGCATAACATAATATAGATGTGGGTGTGTTTTGAGTTAGATGGCAGCATTTCATCCTTGGACACAGGCAGCAAAAAGGGACTGGCCCTGTGTGTATAGGAGGCTGTTGTCTCTGTGTATAGGGTGTACCATGTGACCATGGGGCAAATAGTTTAAAATAAATGGTGTGTGGGCATTTAAGGTTGTAGTGTGTTTGAATAAATTAATATAGTATATGTATAGGGGGGTACAGTTAGGTGATGATACAGGAAATATGAATGTATTAGCTTTATAGGGACACAACTTCAGAAATAAAAGGAAATATGAATATTTCCGTCATGTGTCCTTAAGGGGTTAAGCTGCAGCGTATGTTTAGTGGTGTACTGTGTATAGTGGGTGCAGACCAGGGGCTCCTCCTGGGTAACTCCCCCCTACACACACATATCAGAGTGTGCTCTATTTCCTCACTAACCCGGGAAAGGACAGAAAGCCCACTTTGGGCCATGGGTAAGCAGGGGGGATCCTTTCATCTCCATATTGGCCTTGTCCCCTTGGACAGCAGCAATGCCTATACTTTCATCAGCCCATGTTTTATTCTGGATAGGAAGAAACACCCTAACCTTAGGAGTACATGTTTCTGACAGTGATACAGACTATATGCATTCAATCATGACATATCAGTCACTGACACAGACCTAGACCACAAGTCTAGGGTCAATGACATGTTTGCTTTATTGCATATTGTTATACAGTTTAAAATAAATCATGCAAATCTTCATCTATATACTTTGATTGGATGTTATTGGATTGTATTTGTCCCTGGAGGAGCTGGATCCCCTATCCTGTAACAGACATGGACTGTATGTATGTTTAACCCATGGAACGCCCTAGGTGAATCCAGCCCTGATTGGTGGTTACACAGGCGGGCTAAACTAGCAACTACCTCTGGCCAATCAACAGAGGCAACAGAGTTCTGTCAATCAGAACGTACATATTTGTAAACCACGCCCACCAGGCACGAACTGCTATAAAGCTGTTTCCCTGCGCCGCACTGGGTCACACTCCCGCGCAGAAGTCTGATAGAGAGGATGGAGGAGAATAGAATGCATGATCCGCGGAAGGTAACGCAGGCATTCCCAGACCCCAACCTTCTGGATTTCCGGGTCCTGAGGAACCTCCTCTGCTTAGAGAAGACACAGGTAGCCCGCAGAGTGCCTTTCTGCCAGTGGCCGCAGCAGGAGGTGACCATGAAGATGATGCAGATCCTGTCTCAGTGGTTGCTGGAGGTGGGCTTCACGTAAATAACTATTAAAATTGCAGGCAAATATTAAAGCATGTGGTGAGAATGGCAAAAGCCGAAAATGGCCCCCCAAAAAAGCGAGAATGTAAAAAAAATAGTGTGTGTGTTTGTGTGTGTGTGTGTGTATATATATATATATATATATATATATATATATATATATATATATATATATGTGTGTATATATATATATATATATATAATATTTTGTTATGCAGCGCTGTTCTCATTGCAACACACAAAAGATTAAAAAAATATATATAAATAGGCACTATTATTACAGTTTGACTCTTGAGGGGAGCTCATATAAAGAGTATGACATTTGTTAGTTTACCTTCTACTAGAAAATGTGAAGATTATGAGAAAACCCTATTTAAAATAGGCATTTATCCTATTTCTTTGGCGTATGATTTGACTGACAAGGGAGAGCAGAAAACACCTCCCATAGGTGTTCCTGTTCTCTAAAGCATAGCAAATGCATGTGCTTTGCTTGCTATAAAACTTGCCTAGTAGGTACTGCTAGCGCTGTGTAGAGATATCACCCCATTCAGATGCTGGCAGTGAAGAAAGTGTCGCACAGGTTTGCCCTGCTTGGCGTGCCATCCAAAGCAGGACAAATAACAGAAAAGCGGTAAGTGTTACACGAAGAGTAATGTCCACAAGGCTCAGAAGTTGGCGGTGCTGGAAAGGAGGTGAGGTAATAATATCTCTATACTTTGCATTAAATCCATTATGTATCTTTGTAATATATGATGTATTTAATGTATATGAGGGTAATAAACGGTAAGTTTAGGTTTCCATTAAAGGAACCCTTTAAGGTCAGGAACACAAACATGTATTCCTGACCTTATAGTGTTAAGACCATCATCTGACCCCCCTCCCCCTCTTACTTGTATTTAAGTCTGAAGCTGCTGTCTCTGACCTGCCCATGTCTGCTGACATCATCAGAAGTGGTGGTCTGAGCCAATCAAAATGCTTCACCATAGGATTGGCCGAGACTATCAAGGAGGCAGATCAAGTCAAACACAGACCTGGCCAATCAGCATCTCACAGAGATGAATTGAATCAATGCATCTCTATGAGGAAAGTTCAGTGTCTGCATTCAGAGGGTGAAGACACTGAATGGCAGTTCTGCTCACTGTGCATCACTGCCCCAGGAAGCACTTCTAGCAGCCATCTAAGGAGTGGCCAGTTAAGTTATCACTAGGCTGTAATGTTAACACTGCATTTTCTCTGAAAAGACAGTGTTTAAAGCAAAAAGCCTGAAGGGAATGATTCTACTCACCAGAACAAATACAACACGCTGTAGTTGTTCTGGTGACTACAGTGTCCCTTTAAAGGTGCAATTTAACCATGTACACCACACAAATTTAAGGATGGAGACAATTGTACAAGTTCTAATCAAATCAAAACCTGGAATTTGCCCTAAATTCAAGCCACACTTTACCTCTTTCAAATTAAGTGCACCCACACTTAGATATCATTTTGTTCAGAATAAACAGGGCTTTCATTTCATATCAAATATTCATATATGAAACTAATTAATACGACTAAAAGCAAAACATTTCAGAAATTAATAAATATTGATATTTTTCAAGTTCAGCATGGCATTTTAGCTGTGAATATAACACTGTTAACTTTTACAAAACACACATATTTGTGTTCAGTGATGTCCTGCTGGTACAACAGTACTCAGTACAACAGGGTTTTGGAAAGTTACAGGGTAAATATAGGGCTTCCCCTGTTTTTAGTTTTTACACATTGAAATTTGCTGAGCCATTGTTGCCTTTGAGACCATGGCAGCCCAGGAATGAAAATTCCCATCCATCATGGCATACCATTTTCAAAAGTAAACAACCCAGGTTATTCAAAATGGGGTATGTCCAGTCTTTTCTAGTAGCCACTTAGTCACAAACGCTGACCAAAGTTAACGTTCATATTTGTTTTTTGCATTTTTCACACACAAATTGCACTTTCACTGATGATATCATTATTGTGAAATGCTTTTACTATTTTAAAATACTAATATTTGTGTTCAGCGATGTCTCCAAGTAAAACAGTACGCCCTCATGTCCAGGATTTTTAGTCTTTTGGAAAGTTACAGGGTTAAATATAGGGCTTGCAAATTAAATTCTCTGTCTGGGTTGTCAGGCAGGTCCCTCAAATTGTGATTAATAAAATTACATAATTATGTAAGAAGATTACATAAATATACACATAGCATTTACATATACACATGTAAATATATGTGTATCATTTAAAAAAATATATTTTTATTTACAGATAAATATATAATTTCATCCTAAGTGTATTTTTATACCAATACATACATATATAAAATCTCAAAGCTATAATGAATGTGTAGAATTACCACTGTAATTAAATTTTTATATTTACAATGTTTGCCCCTGCAGGCTGACCCCAAGCTTGCTATGCTGACCATGTGGTGGCTCCACATGGCCCAGGTGGGCCTTATCTGCTAGAGGGGTACTGCTTAAAGGGACTCTCCAGTGCCAGGAAAACAATCCGTTTTCCTGGCACTGCAGGTCCCCTCTCCATCCCACCACCCATCCCCGGTTGCTGAAGGGGTGAAAACCCCTTCAGTGACTTACCTGAGACACCCGCCGAAGTCCCTCGGCGGTGGTTTCGGGTCGCCGCCGCTCCTCCCCTTCATCACGTCAGCCGGCTGAGGAGACCTAATGCGCATGCGCGGCAATGCTTAGAGCTCTCCATAGGAAAGCATTGAAAAGGCTTTTTAATGCTTTCCTATGGGAAATTGAGCGACGATGGACGACGACGCACAGCGTGAGGACGTCCAGCGACACTCTAGCACAGAAAACCTGTGCTATGAAGCAGGAAGTACCCTCTAGTGGCTGTCTAGTAGACCGCCACTAAAGGAGGATTTAACCCTGCAAGGTAATTATTGCAGTTTATGAAAACTGCAGTAATTACAGTTGCAGGGTTAAGGGTAGTGGGAGTTGGAACCCAGACCACTCCAATGGGCAGAAGAAGTCCCTTTAAGTTGTCAGGCTGTCCCCCAGAAGCTGGTTGCCAGGTAAGTAAGTATATCTGAGGCGCTGTGGTGGAAAGCCGCCAGAACAGCTTTTAAGACATAGAGCGGCGGTAAGGGGTTAAAGGGACACTCCAGAGCCCTAAAGCACTTTAGCTTATTGAAAAGCTGTATGTTTGAAGATTGTTTTTTTTTTTTTTCTCTTTTCTTTTTTTTTTTCATTTAACAAAGTCTAGATTTCAATTAAAATTGACACTTATTTTATAAATTGTCAAATGTTTCTGTTTCCTGGTTTGCTTAGTTCAGCAGAGCAAAAGTCAAGGGGTAGGCAATTATCCAGAGCACTTACCTTGCAAAAACTTCTCTTTGAGTTGCATTGGGAAGTCTGTGATTGGACAGTCTGAGCAGTGTTAGAAGGGGAGGGCATGCAAAGGCAGCAGACAAGAGATCTACTTTTGGAAGCAAATTGGAGCTGCAGTAAGATTACTGCTCCATTTAAAAAAAATAACAGCCGGCTAACCGCCGAGCAAGATGGCCGCTTAGAAATCTGCTCCGGCACATGGGCTCCACCAACTCCACTTTTAACGCGAGCTGAAACCACCCTAACACCCAAGCAAACCATGGCCTCATCCAAAGCTAAGAAAATGGCTGCAAAAGCCGAAAAAATGTACTTTTTTGGACAAAAATCCTCCCTAACAGCGGAGACAGCACGGGCGACAGACCAAGAGACCGTGGACGAGCTGGAATCCAGCTCACTGCCGGCAATGTCTGAAGAGCCTCAGCCCACAGACTGCCTAACACGAAGCTACTTCGAACGTGCTATGGAGGCAATGGCGACAAAATTAATTACCACATGGCAAACAACTGCCGACCAACTCAAACGCGAGGTCAGAGATCTATCGGCCAGAACATCCGCAGTGGAACAACGCTGCCAGACCCTCGAGACCGCGCAAACGACGACTTCAGGGTGCTTACAATCCCTACAACAACAAATGGAAAGCATGGAAGCGCGCATGGCGGACCATGAAGACAGAGCGCGCAGAAACAACCTAAGACTCAGAGGAGTCCCCGAAACGGTCCTACCTGAGGACCTGCAGGCCTATGTGAGAGGCCTCTTACGCGCCTACGGCCCGGACATTCCCGCAGACATGCTGCTTGTCGATAGGGTCCACCGAGTAGCGAAACCGAGACACCTACCAGATTCCATCCCACGCGATGTCCTACTTAGGGCCCACTACTATCATGTGAAAGAGTTGGTCCTCAGATCCCATCGTAACAAAGCAAACCCGCATGAAGACTTCCCAACAGTACGCATCATGGCGGACCTGTCGCCAGCTACCCTCCGACGCAGACGAGACTTCAACGTGGTCACAACCGCACTCCGCCACCATGGAATCCGTTACAGGTGGGGATTCCCCACGAAGATAATCCTCACCAGAAACGGGAAATCGCACCTCCTTCTATCTCCAGAGGACGGATTGGCGGCCCTGGAGGCATGGGACTTAACGACAGCAGCACCGACAGAGGCACGACCCAAGCCCCAGAGACCAGGCCATAGCACAAATATGAACTAAAATGAAAGAACGGAACTGAATGGCATGCTAGCGCAAGTATCACATTAATGCTATATCTGCTCAAATGTTTTCTTGATCAATATGCAAGGTGTATGTACCCATGCTACAAGAGGGTATAATCCTAACCGCTGTCTGCACTCCCTTTAATAGCCCACTCAACTGTAAACCAGATTGGGTAGCCCTTAGATGCACATGCTGCGCAATGCATAGAATTTATTAAATGAAGTGCCACTATAGGACACACCTTCGCATAGGGCGCTGTCACTAAAGCATGAGCCCAACGGGACAATCTATCACACTGCCCAATGTCTAGCACTACTAGATAAGCACGCTTCGATGCGCACAAGGGCACCGGGGGAACCTAGCACAGCCCAAGCCCAAATATGCGCCACACTGCGCAATTAAGAATGTGGTTAATAAGGGAGGGTAAAAACAATGTTCTTGCATAATTACAGCAGCAGCGGTCAAAACAAACAGCATCGATTATCGCAATGATACCTGCATGCCTATCCAGTAACAAAGTTTAAAGTTGTGTTGAAAGTTTTATTGTTGATCCACGCTATAACCAAGGTTTCAGCTCTACCAAATAGTTGTTTATATCATAGACAGGAGCCCAACCAGCCACGTATTTGGAAGCTCCAGCTCCGCAGCCCCACGGTACGACTAACGTACCAGACCGCACGGTCTTTGTATATAATCCACCCCAACCACCGACAGAACCCCGTCCTCCCAGCCTTCCCTATCTCCCCCCTGCACCTACACGACACGGCAGCTACACGCACCTCCCATCCTAAGCAAACCACCACCGCATACAATACTTGAACTCACGCAACACTCCATAATAACCATGATCATCTACTCACACAACACAAAGGGGCTCAACACGCCTCACAAACGGCGAGTGCTACTGGACGATATAAAAAGCACGAAGGCAGACATAGTCTGCATTCAAGAAACGCACTTTGTCACTAACCGAATACCCACCTTCGCAACTAGAGACTACCCCACACAGTATCATGCCACGCACACTTCTAAATCCAGAGGGGTCTCCATACTGTTACATAACTCATTAACAGTGGAGACTCTGCGAGTCAAAACGGACAGCCAAGGTAGATACCTTATTCTTCAATGTATAATTAACAATGACCCACTCATTCTAGTATGCCTATACAGCCCAAATGACCAACAGCGCAACTTCCTCCATAAGGTCCTCAGCAAACTGCCAGAAGATTCAAATGATCCCAAGATTATCTGCGGAGACTATAACCATACTATGGACTCGCGAACAGACACAACAACCCCTGCCACATCAACAAGGCACCTCACACTGGGCCCAAACAACAAAGCATTCACAAAGCTTATACACGAAAATAGCCTATACGATGTTTGGCGAACTAGACACCCATCGGACAGAGAATACACATTCTTCTCGCACGTACACAAGACATATTCAAGAATAGACCACATCCTCGCTTCAGGCACGATACTACCGCTCATAGAGGACTGCTCAATAGGCAATATAGTCTGGTCCGACCACGCCCCAATTACACTGACCCTGCGATCCAACTACCAACATAGAGGTAAACCACCATGGCGCCTCAACGAAACACTCCTTCAGGACAAAGTGTTCACGACAAAATTGATGGAAAACCTGCAAGACTATTTTCACACCAACGATAACCCGGAGACCTCCATCTACAGTATCTGGCAGGCCCATAAAACTGTCCTGAGAGGTCAGCTGATCAGCCGAGCATCATACCTCAAACGCCAAAGGGACAAGGCACATATAGACCTTCTTCGACAGCTAAGAGACATCACGGCTGCACATTTTCTGAACCCATCGGACACGCATGCAAACGACATACAAAATATCACTAAACAAATCAATATCTTAACTCTTGAGAAAACGGCCCACATCCTTACCAAACTGAAACTACGAACATACACGCAAGGTAACAGAGCAGGGAAACACTTGGCCAACTTACTCAAACAAAAGCAGGCCAACTCCAAAATCCCACACCTAATCACCAAAACTGGCGAAAAAATTCATAACCCACAAGACATCAATGACGATATGGCCGACTACTACCACTCCCTCTACAACCTTAAAACAGATCCCACCCTACACCAACCTACCACACAAGAAATAGACGAATTCCTTCACACTATGGAACTCCCCACTCTAACGACAACACAAAAACACACTATACAACATCAGATCACCGAGCAAGAAATCATAGACACCATAAACTCCCTACCACCTGGAAAATCAGCAGGCCCAGACGGACTACCCAACTCATATTACAAACAGTTCGCGCCTACCCTAGCTCCCTACCTACAAAGAGTATACCACCACATCCTACAGACAGGGACCATGCCACAAGAAATGCTCATGGCCCATGTCGCCACCCTCCCCAAACCAGGGAAACCCCCAAACAAATGCCAAAATCTGCGCCCCATCTCGCTGTTAAACACGGACGTGAAAATTATAGCAAAAATCCTCTCAAACAGGCTAGCTCCCATAATTCCCTCACTTATTAAAGAAGACCAAGTAGGGTTTGTGAGGGGCAGACAAGGAGCGGACGGCACGCGAAAAACCCTGGACCTACTATACGCAATACAGCAAAAAAAGAGGCCTAGCGTCCTACTATCCCTAGATGCCGAAAAAGCCTTTGATAGGCTCCATTGGCCCTTCCTGTTGGCTGTCCTCCACAAATTTGAATTTCCCCCACAATTTATATCACTCATTAAAGCACTATACTCTCAGCCAACAGCCCGAGTGGTAAACGGGGGTTTTATCTCAAAACCCTTCCATATAACTAACGGCTCTAGACAGGGCTGCCCACTTTCCCCACTGCTGTACATCCTGGCGCTAGAACCCCTCACCCAACTCATACGAGACAACCCGAATATCCACGGTATTAAAACTGGGGACCAAGAGTACAAATTGTCCCTATTTGCGGATGATATCTTACTAACCCTGGAACAACCACATATCTCCCTGCCCAATTTCCACGCAACCCTCTCTAGATATAGCGCATGCTCATATTACAAGTTGAACATCACTAAGACTCTAGCCATGGGGATTAATATCCCGAGCCCTGTCCTGACAACCCTTAAATCCAATTTTAACTACGACTGGAGACAAGACAATATCAAATTTTTAGGAATAAACTTCACACCTACAACGAACACACTGCTCAAAGCGAACTATACTAAACTGCTTAAGGAAGTTAAATCCCTAATGCAAAGCTGGAGGGGGAAATATGTGTCCTGGACTGGACGAATAGCCTCGGTGAAGATGGTGATTCTACCCAAGATTCAATATCTGTTCCGTACACTCCCACTCCGACTCCCCAAAAAGTATCTGATGGAACTACAAAACGTCATAAACGACTTCGTCTGGGACAATAAAAAAACAAGGGTGTCCAAAGCCACAATGTACAAGCCACACGCCCAGGGCGGGATGGGCCTGCCCGAACTGGCGGGATACTACAGGGCAGCGCACATTGCTCCACTCATTGCTGCAACACACAGCCAGGTCCCCACAGCGTGGGCAAAACTGGAGGAAAGGCAAGCCCGGAAGATCCCAATCCAGACTCTAGGCTGGCTACCAAAAACTCACAGACCCAAAGCTTCAGAATTGCTCCTCACTACAGCACTAACCCTGTCCATATGGGACAGCTACCGGAAAAAAAGAGGCGCGACAAACCTACTCTCCCCGGCGATGCCATTGGAGACACTCCGACAGCTTATCCCAGATTTCAATTATAAACTCTGGCAAAGGCACGGCATAACCACAATATCGCATATAATGCAAGGAAATAACCCCAAATCATTCTCAGAACTTCGCACAGAATTCAAGCTACCTAATACGGCGGCCTTTTCCTACCTCCAACTACAATCATGGATACGCATCCACACTCCGACACAACCTGCTGATCCTCCAAACCTCCATTGGACTAAATTGATGAAGATCTGCACAAGGGAAAAACCAGCGACAAAACTTATCTCCACATTATACGCCTCGGAACACATGGAGACCCTAACGGACCCACCTTCCTTTAAAGTGGCATGGGAACAAGACATCGGACACACACTCTCAAATGACCAATGGCAAGATATATACCAAGCTCATAAACGACTAACCCTCTGTACGACCCACCTAGAACTCTCACGCAAACTACTCTACAGGTGGTACCTAGTCCCCGCAAAACTCAAACATAGCTACCCCGATACATCGGACACATGTTGGAGATGCCAAGCGCACCGAGGCACCCTACTACACATATGGTGGCAATGCCCGCTACTACAACGATACTGGGCACAAGTTGCGAACCTGGCTACAAAATGCACCACGGTGCAGATAACCCCCACACCAGAAACATTCCTACTACTCTCACTCCCACAATTGCCACACCTGCACTTAAAGTATCTACTGTACCACATCTGCATTGCAGCCCTCACAGTCATTAGCAGAAAATGGAAGCAACAAATCACCCCAACACTCCACCAATGCATTGAGGTAATAGAATCAACCAAACTATATGAACTTATGGCAAGGAAATCGAGACAGTCTCACCCCTACTGGACTGAAGCATGGGACCTGTGGGACAAAACTAGACCGCAACAATCATATATAACACAACCCTGAAGCTGGAAACGGTACCTCCACGACAGGAGGCTGAACTCAAATAACAGACTGATACCTCACCACACTACTCCACACGGCATACACACCCATCCCAATTCCCCTCTTATCCCCTATAAACGCTATGATGAGACATCTATAACCATATGTAACACAATAACCAGGGCCATGCTAAGCTCTGCCCAGCCAGCACGACCCCATGACGAGAAAACCCATACTACACCATTAAAAAAGAAGATGACACTATGCACAAGACACCCTCACACCACAAGGTGCTGTTACTAAGGGATAACTACAACTGTGCAAACCCTGACAAACTACTGTATTCAAACTGCAATGCCTTATGTGATGTTAACCCACCCTATTTACTTTCTGTACCCCCACCCCTTTTTCGACAAAATAAAAATTGTCAAATTCAAAAAAATAAATAAAAAAATAACAGCCACACTGGACCCCTGGGTGGATTTCAATGAAAACAAAAATGCGAGTGTGTGGGCGTCTGTCAGAGTGTGTGTGTGCACCTGTCAGTGTGTGTGCGTTTAAGCATCTGCACCCTCCAATCGCATGAGGAAGGCGTTTTACTCACGTTTTTTTCCCACGCCATGCCAGTTTCGCCGTGGCTGCTCCCACCTCCATGGCTGAGATTATCAATCTTTATGATCTCAGATAAGCCAATGCTTTCATGCATGCGCAGCAAATGTGCCTATCTGCATCTCCTCATAGAGACGCATTTAATTAATGAATCTCTACAAGGAACATTTAGTGCCTCCATGCAGAGCTTTGAGACCATGCACGTGGTGCAGCAGTGACACAGGACTCTCTAGTGGCAATCTGGGGTAATAGAGGTGTTACTAAACAGCAATGTAAACACTGCCTTTTTGCTGAAAAGGCAGTGTTTAGTGATAAGCCTGCAGGGACAGACTATAGACACCAGAACAACTAGATCAAGCTGTAGTGGTTCTGGTGACTATACTGTAGTGTTTAAGAATTGCATTTTTCTCATTGAAAATGACTGGCTCCTAGATTCCAAACAAATTTGTCAAGCCCTGGAATAAGTAACATGTCAAGTAATGTGTGAGATTAGGGGGTTATTCACTAAACATCAAATTGCAGTGAATATTTTAGGCTATATTGCTAATCTGTGATTATATCTGAATTGGAGAAACTACAGAACAATGAGCTTTATTTTGCTTATGAAAGCCAGTGGTTAGAGTTCCAACTGCACTATCCCTTAAGTTTAATTCTTGACAGTGTCAAGCATTCATGCTTCCAAGGTTGATAAAATGAGTACCATTGCTTTGGGTAATAACATGAAAACTAGAGAAATATAAAACTGTCTAGAATCTACCTGATTTTTACTCTTTTGCCCTGCCAACTATAGGTATGTGAGCATCAACAGTGTGAAGAAGGGGTGTATCAGCTTTGCCTGTGCCTCTTGTGTACATATATGTCCATGAGCCCTGTGAAGATAAGGCAGCTGCAACGTCTGGGGGCTGTTTGCCTTTTTTTGGCCTCCAAAATGAGGGACCTGGTACCCATTACCGTGGAAAAGTTGTGTATGTACACAGACTACTCTGTCACCGCTCAGAAAATCATGGTAAAATAATTATTGATTCTATTTGATATACATTTATATTTCACTTTATATTTTTTTTAATTTTAAAAACATTTTATTGTGCACAAAACGGTACAATAACATGTGATGCAATAGATCAAAGGGTTACAATGATAAAAGTAATAAGGGGGGGAGGGTATACAGAAAAAAGAGATGGGGGTGTTACATTTAATTACGTAATGTGTGACATCTTTAGTTATGGAATGCTGTTGGCCATAAGCCTATACCATTATGTTTGTGTATAACATGACTCTGGTTTGGACGTATAGCTCTGTGTGCTCCGGTTTGGGTCCTGTAATATCCTGCCAACTTGGCAGCTAGGGTTTCCTAGAGCTTTTAGTCTCCCGTGTCTACTTGTGGATTAGCTTGTGTTATGCGTAGAGGCTATTTAGCCACAGTGATGCTGTCTTAGCTTTTGGTTGCAAATTGGGCTATCTTGTATCTCAAATCATGTAAGAGGCTCATGGTATACATCTAATGGCTGTTTCACCAGTGTCACTTGGGGTCGGCCTGTGTGTTCTCTTCAACTGATATTAGGTTTTCCGCCAGAGATAGCGGGGGCTCAGGGTTTGTACTTGTACCTGCGGCTACCTCCTGACCATTGTTGGGGTTGATCCCAGGGTTCCCCAGTGTCCCACCGGCTAACTATATTTTCTGTATTGTCTGAGGTATGTTACGTAGGGTGTCATGATAACTGGTCTCTAATATTATTTCAAATCAGTCTTTCATTGATCAGGATCTAGGCCAAACATCCTGGTAGGTGGGCAGTGTGCATTTGGGTAAAGGTGCGCCATGGGCTCCATAGTTGGGCGTGTTTCGTGTATCTTTTATTAATCGAGACGGTGATCTCCTCCATTTGTCGTACGCATTCAACCCTGTGTATCCATTCCCTGACCGTGGGTACTCGCATCTGTTTCCACAGAATAGGGATCATCTGGTTCGCTGCTGTCGGCATGTGGGCTACTAGTTTAGCTGTGCCAGCCTTGATGTTCGGGATGGGCGCTGAGAGTATTAAATATTTTGGGGAGAAAGGGATTGTTGAGGAGGAGATTGTCTGCCTGGGTTAGTGTGTGAATACGTTATCAAATTTTTGGATCTCTGGGCACTTCCACCATATAAGTGTCGTGTAGTTGGCATCTCCAGCACTCGTCTGGGGCGTTTTCGTGAATCTTGGCTGCCGTGTAGTGCCATCTTGTGATGCGTTTGTAATTGCTTTCTTGTGTACCTAAGTTAGTGGACGATGTGTGCGCTTTTAGGAAAATAGCTTTCCATTGACCTGGGGTGATCTCCACCTGTAACTCCTCCATCCTCCTGGCAAAGTACGGTATGGTCTGGTGATTTGCTTCCACCAGAAGTAAATACATAGTCGATAAAATTTTCTTTTTTTAATGTGCAGTCTTGACATTAGTTCTAATTTCGTAAGGTCCTTATTCCCCTTCAGGAGAAGGTTGGTGCGGTTTATGAAATGGGAGATTTGGGTGTGGTGTCGGTGTATGCCAGTAACTGCATGATCGGGCATCAGTTGTGACATGGTTTTGATCTCACCCTCCTGCAACATGTCCCGCAGCGTCAGTATCGGTGTGGTATGGAACTTGCGGATGTTTGTACCCGAGTGCCCTTCTTGAAACAAAGGGTTGTGAGTGAGTGGATATTGTGGAGATGGGTGCGCGGATATGCTAGTCATGTGTCTGGTTGAGTCGCAGACCTTCAGAGTGGCAGAGATGGTAGGATGTGGTTTGGATTGCACGTATATACAGCCTTTTTCGTGCCAAGGGGTTGTGTGTAATGGGATCTCGAGAAAAGTGCCCTCAATCTTAACCCACTGTGAGTTCATGTTATTGTAAGTCCATTCATAAATTCTGGAGAGGTGGACTGCCTGATGGTATTTTTCCACACTCAGAAGGCCTAAGCCCCCCTCTGAGCGTGGCCTGGTGAGTAGTGAGTAGGCCAATCTAGGGTGTGACCACAGGAATGTCGTGAGGAGTTTCCGGACAGACCCAAAAAATGTCTTGGGGAGGGATATGGGCATCGTTTGTAGGAAGTACAAGATACGTGGGAGGATGTTCATTTTAATTATATTGAGTCGACCGAACCAACCAAATAGTGGTTTTATGCCATTTTTTTTCAGGCCATTTGCGATTGCCTCCAGTAATGGTGGAAAGTTGGTCTCATATAACTGTTCTAGTCGTCTGGGGAGGTGGATCCCTAGATATTTAACCCCTTAAGGACACAGCTTCAGAAGCTTGTCTTACGCTTAATGACACAAGCTATTTTTTTTGCATTTTCTTGCTGTATGCGTTCAACTGCAATTTGCATCTCTCACTTTTATTGCACTGACACATATTATATACTCTTTTAAAGGATAGAAAGGGCTTTCATTTGATGTGTAATTAATATATATATATATATATATATATTTTATATTAGAAAAATACAGAAAAATGCAAAAAAAGAGAATTTGTTTTATGTACAGTTTTTGCAATAATAATGTGTGCCTAATTAGTGCAGGTTAAAGAAAGTAATTAAAAATAAATTCATTTAGTTGTTCTGATTTACAGAATATATAATGTGTCTGGGATTTTAAGGTTTTTTTGGTAGTTACAGGTCACAAAGCACAAGGAGTAAAATAAACTTTTTAATGTGGAGCGATTTTAGAATTTGGTATGTTTGTCTTGTAAGCTTAATAGCCATAAAAGAAAACAAAATTGCCACACAAAAGTATATATTTATATAAAGTAGACATCACAGGCTATTGTCCTAAGGTTGTTTTGACACTTTCTACGTAGCCATTTCACCGCCAATCTCCGCTAAATATTGGAGTAAAATTTAGTTTTTGGGGGGTTTTTGGCACACAAACTTATAACAAAGAACTTCTCATGTGTATTTTGTAAAGTTGGTGTGTGCTATTCCTGTACAAAGTTTTATTTTGTGTTCAGTTACTTCTGCTGAGTACAACGATACCCCCATTGTATGTCTTTGGCACTGTTTTGTGAAGCTACAGTGCCATATAGGAGACCTGTCCGTTTCAACATTTACAGTCAAATTTTGAGAGGCGGATTTTATCGGCCTATGCTTCAATTTGGGGTATTATAGCAGTTTGACTGTTCAAAAAAACCGCACACAGGCCTACCATTTGTAAAAGTCGACACTCCAGGGTATCTCATATGGTGCATATTGTGCCTTAACATGCACCCATTTTTTAACCAATATATGCCAAAGTATGTGGTAAAAAATTATTTGGGGCATGTTTTACATACGGATTACATTTTTGCTGGGCATTTTCTACATTTCATATGTGCCACTAAGTTCAAACCCCCCAAATTATGCTCAGCTAAGTCTTCTGAGTAAAACCATATGCCCAATGTATGACCTAGACCAGGGGTAGGCAACCTACGGCACTAGTGCCATGCACGGCACTCGAGGTGCCTTGGCACGGCACTCAAGGCTGCCGGAGTCAAACAGGCTCTGGCCTATCAGGAGTCCCAGTAAAACTTCAGATATCTGCTAGTCCGAAAAGGTGGTGAAGGACAATCCTCAATTTATGCATTGCAGCACGTAGAGGAAGTGATCTCAGATCACTTCCTCCCAGCACTTGTGAATGGGAATCCACACAGTAGTAGAGCAGCACACAGTTGCTGTTGCAGCTCCTGTCCTTGACATGTACCTGGCCGGCCTAGTCCCCACTGTAACCCAGGGAAGTCACCCACACTGCTAGATATACACAGAAATGCAGAATAACCCTCCCCTCATACAAATAGTACAGCCCACACACAGCCCACACACAACCCACACACAAACATACACACAATCCGCAACACCACTAACAATCCACATACATGCACACAACCCCACATGCAGCCTCTCACATGCAATACCCCAATAAGCCCCCACACATTACCAAACACACAATGTGACATATCCATCCACACACACAATTCCACAAATAGCCCCCATACACAGCTTACATTCATATGTATCATACACAATACCATAAACTACTCATGAACATATACAATATAATAGCTCATATACGCAGGGCCGTCTTTAACGCAGGGCAAACGGGGCAGCTGCACTGTGAGCCCCGCTGGCCTCAACTATTTCTCACCCCCGGCCGGTAATCCACACACTAAGGAGGCCCACCGGCTGGCCCATGCACAAAGGGCCACCCGGTGGGCTTCAGTCAGCAGGGGTCTGGTCGCGCGCTGAGGCACTTTAACAGCGGGCCCCTTGCTTTTCGGCAGCAGGCTGGGAGGAAGGGACGGCCGTGCATCACTTCCTCCCACAAAGAGAGGAGCGTGCGGGAAAGAAGAGTAGGCAGAGTGGAGGGGGGCTGGCCGAGAGAGCCAGACCCCACCTCCCAACACCTTCAGCCACCAGCAGAAAAGGTAGGAAACTGGAGGGTGGGTTTTAAAGTGTAAATTTGGTGTGTGTTAGTATGCTTGAATGTGTGTGTGTGTGTGTCAATATATCTGTGTGTGTCAGTATGTCTGTGTGTGTGTGTCAGCATGTCTGTGTGTATGTGTCTGTGTGTGTCAGCATGTCTGTGTCAGCATATCTGTGTGTGTGTGTGTTAGTATATCTGTGTGTCAGTATGTCTATGTGTGAGTGTCAGCATGTCTGTGTGTGTGTGTGTTAATATGTCTGTGTGTGTCAGCGTTGGGGTGGAGGACGTGATTGCATGCCTGGGGAGGGGGGACAGGGTCCAGTGGGCCCCAAGCAAATGCTTTGCCCAGGGTCCATTCAATATTAAAGACGGCCCCGCATATACACACATATATAACGATACAAAGCAATTACAGTAAAAATAACACAAGCAGAATATGGCAGCGTACACACCTCAATTTTAAAAAAAATAGGACCGCACGCTACGGGACATCACAATCCTATATCGGCACAGTGCTACTAAAAGGTTGCCTACCCCTGACCTAGACACTATTTTGTGAAGTTACACTGCTGTAAAAGAGACGTGACAAGTTCAGGTTTTTAAGTGTGAATTTTCATGGATGGTTTTGATGCGTCCGTGTCCCAGTTTGGAGCACTTGAGCAGGCTACATATTACAACTACACCATAAAGGCATACCATTTCTTAAAGAACACATCCCAGGGTATTTCAAAAGGCATATTTAAAACCTTAGCGTTGGATAATTTTTCCGCTAGCTTGTACCAAGTGTAGTGGTAATAAGCGTTTTTTTGCGTTTTTGACACACAAAGTGAGTTTGCACAGTATATTTTGCAAATTGTATGTGTGCTACGACTGTATACTACTTCATATGTTGCTCAGCTATGTCGGCTGAGTACAGCAATACCCCCGTATGTACCTTTGCCTGGTATATGTGGACATCGGAGGGGCACATTTGGGACACAGCCATTCCCGTTTTTTTTCAAACTTTGAATGTTTACGCTGGGTCCATGTCCCATTTTAGATGATCATTTTTCCATTAGCTTGTACCAAGTGTAGTGGTAATGAGTAGTGATGTCCCGAACTGTTCGATGAACGGTTCGCGAACAGTTCTCCACGGATCGCCAGTCAGCAGACACATTCCAGCCAATCAGCATCAGACCCTCCCTCCCAGACCCTCCTACCTCCTGGACCGCATCCATTTTGAAGCTGCCTTCTTAGTGAGCTGTCCAGGAGGAGGGAGGGTCTGCTGCTGATTGGCTGGAATGTGTCTGCTGACTAGAGTCCGCGGCGAACCGTTCGGCGAACAGTTCGGGACATCACTAGTAATGAGCATTTTTTTATGTATTGTAAATGTAACCCATTTTCAAACTTTTTTTTACTTATTAAATGTTTTACACTTTCTTAACTTTTACACTTTTACATTTTTCCTAAACTTTTTTTTTTTACCATTAACCCCTAACTAGCAGTAAGCAGCACTAACAGTAAATTCCCCCCTTTCCCATAACTCCCACCCACTCCAGCTAGTAAAATATATCATTATAAAATATTTAAATTAATTAATTAAATAAATTGAACCCTTGAAGGTTAAAAAAATAAATAAAAGTTAATCCTCAGGTATTAAAAGAAATTAGATTACAGTATAATACTGTGGTCTGTATTTTGATCACTGTAGGCAGTGATCAACAGGCAGGGAAGGGGTTAATTTTTATTTAGACTGGGTAAAGGGGGGTGGTATTTTATTTTTTTACTTAAACATTTCTAAAACATTTTTAAAAAAACTTTTTTTACCTTTTTAAAGCTTATTTTAAAACTTTTTTTTAACATTAACCCCTAGTTAGCCTAACACCAAATTCCCCAATTCCCCACTAACTTCCACCCATCCCAGCTAGCTAAATATATAATTTTTTAATATTTAAATTAATTAATAAAATAAATTTAACCCCTGAGGGTTAAAACTAAAATAATTAACCCTCAGGGTTTAAAAAAATAAATAAAAAATCATGTCATTAAAATGTATACCCTGCCAATTGATCACTGTAGTCCGTGATCAATTTAGCAGGGAAGGGGTTAATTTTATTAAAGCAGGGGAAAGGAGAGGTGGAATTTAACTTATTTAACTATTTATTTTTTTATTTTTTTACACAGGGTGAAGAGTATCATCACTTTTCCATCTCCCTGCACTTCACAGTGAACCCGGAAGCGCAGGGAGGCGGATCATGAGTACCTGCAGAACATGTACTCGCTCTGACAGCCTGTCAGAGCGATCACTGCTGCAGGGACAGCGCGATCCGGTGCTCCCGGTCTACCTCGGATACCGAGACAGACCAGGTGAGCGTTAACCCCGCGATCATGGCAATCTGGGGTTAACTTTAGTAAATGACAAATTTTCCGTCTGCGGTCGGGAAGGGGTTAACTGATTCTTTATTGCTGGAGTCTTCAATAAAGAAGGTAAAGCAAATATTCGCCTCCTGTCTTTTTAATAAAATTTTGCTTATTCCCTCACCGAGGCTAGAATAATCTCTAATAAATAGTTTAGTGCATACACATGAATTCTTTTTACTGCTACAAACTTTGATATGTGTATTACTATATTTAATATTGGGTATATTATGTATATTTTTTCAAATGTGTTCCTTTCTTTTTTTTCAGAAAGCAAAAAGGCTGCTGGACTTGAATATAACATTAATGATAAACTTACCGAGGATGGCTGTATACACATTCTTTCATTGGGATCAAAGGCGTTGATGTTGCAAATCTGGGCAAATGTGATCACGGGTCATATTATGTTTAGGTATTTTTTGTGTGTAAGCCCTTTATAGATGTTAACAGGGATTAATAATAAAAATGTAGACAAATATTAATACAGTGTAGTATATAGCATGATTTGGCTAATATGCACCCACACGTATATCCCACATATAATCATAAAATAACCATTATCACACTCAACACAATGCAGATAACTGAAAATTATATATTGCTGAACCCAGACCATGTAGTCTTTTCTGACGGTGCTTGAGTTTTATCTATATTGGCATTACAGGGCACAATTAAGTGGATATGGAGTAATGCTCTAACATAATTTTGTTTTCCTAATTAATAAGTATTCACTAATATTCCTCCTCCATGCAGCAGAAAAGACCGGAATTAGACCTCCGACACTAGTTTGACACACTTGTCAAACCGTGTAATTTGACTGCATACAGGCGTCATGATCATCCGAGAGATCTTCTCTGACACTTCGTATTGGGGGTGGGGGGATGTAGTAAGTTTTACTGCACTTGTTTTGCCAATCTGATTGAAACCTAGTCATCTGGATAAAATTCTATGTTTAGAGAACATTCTATGTTTATGATTTTTTACTGTGTTCAATTGTGTTATCTATATATAAAATAAAGTATTCATTATTTAGAATTTTTATGCAGAGAACTTCCAGTTCCTATTTTAAACTAATACACACTTTAGGAATATATCCATCCATCTATCGTTCAAGTAGAGATTGTATCCGCATTAGTCCAGTGATGTAGATGTAAAAAACATACAATTAATATCTTGTAATACCTTTTTTATTGGACGAGCATAATTTTTGAACGACAAGCTTTTGGGAATACCTTACCTTTCTCAAGTCTAAAGCATTTTTGAGCAAGACAGCGCATAAGATTCAAAGTTGAGTTCTGATACAGGGGTTAAAGGGACTCTCTAGTGCCAGGAAAACAATCCGTTTTCCTGGCACTGCAGGTCCCCTCTCCCTCCCACCTCACAAAAAAACCCTTAAGTCACTTATCTGAGACCCCCGCCGGTGGTGGTTTTGGGTCGCTGCCACTCCTCTTCATTACGTCGGCCGGTGGGCGAGACTGATCCCGCCCGCCGGCCGCGGAGACCTAATGTGTGTTCATTAGAGCTATCCATAGAAAAGCATTGAAAATGCTTTTCAATGCCTTCCTATGGGGAATTGAGTGACGCTGGAGGTCCTCACACAGAGTGAGGACATCCAGCGATGCTCTAGCACAGCAAGCTATGGACCAGCAAGTGCCCTCTAGTGGCTGTCTAGTAGACAGCCACTAGAGGAGGAGTTAACCCTGCAATAATTACACTTAAGGGTAGTGGGAGTTGGCACCCAGACCACTCCAATGAGCAGAAGTTGTCTGGGTGCCTGGAGTGTCCCTTTAAAGGACATGAGTGCAGATAAGACACATGGTTAATAAAGAACCATTCTCACAGGGAGTCGTAAATAACATGGAGAGAAAAAAACTAAAAAAGTGCAGTAGATGTGCTACAAGGGAAGAGTAAAAACAACCTAATTACTTGTATAAAGAATGCATGAATTCCCATCCAAGAGTTACAGGATATACAGTTACAAGATTTGTTTGTGTATATGTGTGTGTATGTGTATATGTATGTATATATATATATATATATATATAAAATACACACACACACCCAACCGTGGAGGAGGATTGGGACTTCCAGACATGGCCACATACCACAAAGCGATCCACCTCTAGCACATCCTGAAGTGGACAAATGCTCCACCTGCTAAGCTGTGGATATACATGGAATCTATTTTTATATAAACACCCTGTTCCAAATTATTATGCAAATTATATTTTTCTCATTTACCTAAATAATTGATGTAAATAAGTCAGCATAATTCTCAGGTTATCAACTATTAAGAATACAATTCAAATTTTATTGAACAAACCTCCTAATAAGTTTTTTTAAACCTAAAAAAACTTACAATGCACTGTTCAAAATTATTACGCTCAGTAAGTTTCAAAACACTTTATAGGTTATAAAGAACTGAAAATTTTAATTTGTTGTGTTTGCAGCATATTTACTGAAATCAAAAGCTATTTCAATCAAACTTATAACAACAATTTAACTGTTTAACCCCTTAAGGACTAAACTTCTGGAATAAAAGGGAATCATGACATGTCACACATGTCATGTGTCCTTAAGGGGTTAAATATTTTAACAGGTCACGTTACATTTTAACATAGGACCCCTTATTTGATAGCGGCTTCACAAGTATTGCATCCATTGAACTTGTGAGTTTTTCAACAGTTTCTGCTTGAATTTGTTTGCAAGATGTCAGGATAGCCACCCAGAGTTTGGATGTAAACCCTCATAGATCTTTTGCTTGAGGATGCTCCAAAGGTTCTCATTAGGATTGAGGTCAGGGGAGGATGGAGGCCACACCATGACTTTCTCTCCTTTTATCCCCATAGCAGCCATTGATGCAGAGGTATGAGATGGTGCATTGTAATGCATGAAGATGATTTTATTACGGAAAGCATAGTTTTTCCTTCTGTGCCAGGGAAGAAAGTGGTCAGTCAAAAATTCCACATACTTTGCAGAGGTCATCTTTACACCTGCGGGGACCCTAAAGGGGCAGACCAGCTCTCTTCCCATGATTCCGGCCCAAAACATGACTCCACCACCGCCTTGCTGACGTCGCAGCCTTGTTGGAACAGTGTGGCCGTCCACCAACCATCCACTGCTCCATCCATCTGGACCATCCAGGGTTGCACAGCACTCATCAGTGAACAGGACTGTTTGAAAATTAGTCTTCATGTATTTTTCTGCCCAATGCAGCCGTTTCTGCTTGTGAGCATTGGTTAGTGGTGGCCGAATAGAAGGTTTATCCACAGTTGCAAGACTCTGGGGGCCTCTACATCTTGATGTCCGTGGGACTCCAGAGGCAGCTTCAAATATCTGTTTGCTGCTATGTAATGGTATTTTAGCAGCTGCTCTCTTGATCTAATGCATGGATCTGGCAGAAATCTTCCTCAATGTGCCTTTATCTGCATGAACACGTCTGTGCTCTGAATGAGCCACAAATCTCTTAATTGTGCAATGATCACGCTTAAGTTTTCGTGAAATATCTAATGTTTTCATTCCTCGTCCAAGGCATTGAACTATTTCACTCTTTTCGGCAGCAGAGAGATAATTTTTCTTCCCCATATTGCATGAAAATGGTGCTCTGCTTAATAATGTGGAACACCCTCCTTTAGTAGTTTTTCCTTAAACTGGGCTCACCTGGCAATCTAATTACCACATGTGTTCGAGATTGTTTTCAGTGATCAAAAGAGCCCTGAGACACAATGCCATCCATGAGTTAAACTGAAAAACACAATATTGATTCCTTGTGACACTTAAATAGAATTTGCATAATAATTTGTAACAGGGTGTGTGCATATATATATATATCTCAAAATCCAATTGCTTTTCCCACAGAAATCACAAATCTGCAGTGACTACTGCAAAGGATTCTGGGTGGGCATATGCAAATTAGCTTAACAATGAATCACATTTTTGCCTCATTCCATTTTAAACATGGATTCTTTTTAGTTTGTGTTTGCTGTATACAACAGCATGGAACACAACTTAGGAAAAGATGCAAAGCCAGTAAACCACTCATGGACAACTGTTTCGTTGTTAACAAGCCTTGCCCCGCCCTGCAATTAGGCTAAGAACACTGATTGGTTGGTTTAATCAAAGTTCTTTGGAATTTTCCCACACTGTTTTAAATTGACAAAGAGCACTTTGATTGGCTTAAACCAACCAATCAAAATACAAAAAATGATACTGAACTCAAAGACTTAGAATATAATTCATTACTTAATTTAATAAATCATTGAATAAATCATTATCTCAAATGGACATAATTCATTAGTTAATATATGCTTTAAAGTCAAAAAATTGATAATATATACACACTTAAAACAATATAGTTTAGTAGAACCAGTGCATTATGAGTCTACTAACATAACTCAATGTAACTAAAAATCCCTGACAACAAATTGATGAATCATCAAGAAGTATTATATTATATTGCTGTATATGATAGTCCAAAAAATACCATCTAAAAAAGAATGGTAAATAAAAAAATAAATAAAATAAATAAAATAAAAAAAATTATAAAAAGAAAAAAAAAATCGTGAAAAAAATGAAAAAAGGGAAAAATAAGTATATACAGTCCCAGTGTGTACACACTACAATATATGGGTGGATCTCAGCACTTTCTATAGAAGGATAAGTCCTGTTTCTAAGTTATCCATGTTTCTTTGCTGTGTGATAGTGAATCCTTGTAGTTGTAGTAGATCTTTTTTTCTTTCTCAAAGATGTAGAAGTCCCACACTTATTCTGGAAGTACCAAGTGTTATCTTTTTATTTTGCTTCTTGTCTGTTGGTCCAGAGTCTAATAGGCGGGCTGCGCGCTCGGGATCTTCACAAATCCCTTCAATGGCCCTGTCAGAGAAAAAGTATAATAAAGGCCCATACTTATATACAGTTCGGCACGCCTGCTTGAATATGCAGGTCACGCCCAAATGGCGTCATGACGCTCGCATCTGTAGGTCGCGTCTGTATGATGTCATGGCGCACACGTCAGATTGCTGCGCCAGACGTGTGCACCGTCCCACTTTGAGAACGTCCATATCACTGCGCATGTGTGTGCGTTCCAATACACATGCGCAATATGTACCAATACAAATATGTAGTCTTTTTGCCTTAAGCTGTATGTATGGGATAAAAAAAGTTCCTCATGTTTGTTTGCATGGGGAAAAAAACATCTATGTACATTTAAACAGAAAGTACTTATATACATATTTACATGAAGTATTCATATCAATTAATTACTATGATAGAACTCTACTAATAAAGGGATACTGATCATCCTTATTTAATGAGGGATTAAAGTCATTGATATATTTATGCTTGACTAAACTGAACCAGTAGATTCTTTACCAATAAAGGGATACTGATCATCCTTATTTAATGAGGGATTGAAGTTATTGATATATTTATGCTTGACTAAACTGAACCAGTAGAGTAAGACTAATGATTATCTTAGTACAATGAGGGGTTAAGATCATTAGCATGCTAATAAAAGTATGACTAAGATTGAGGTTTCACATTTATATTTAAAAGTTTATCTGAATATTAATTGTTGGTATTCATAATATGGAGCAGAAAGAACATTACTCGAAGCAATTTTTGTTACTCAAAAAATTCTGTTAAGGAATATAATCTTGGAGTAACTTATAACTTAGTTGACATAGTTATGTTTCTAATAATAAATGGCAATATTGTCCCCATAGTCTGTAGTATGTTCATAATGTATTTCAAATATTTTTTAAAGTATTTTTTTTTTTTAATATTTTTAAAGTCTTCCATCAGATAGATACTGTCAATATTATATCAAAAATGCCATGACGGAATCTGGGTAATAAGAGGTTATATTAGTCCAAAATATAATTGCAACAGATAATCAGCGGTAACCGTTCACCCATTTAAACATCATATTTTTTCAAAATAAGCATACTCACCAGCAGTGTAGTGTGTGAAAAGTGCCTGTGGTTTCCCACACGTTGGACCCCGTGATTTCTTGGGTAACGGACCAAGAGTTGGTCAATTTCTTTAATGGCTCTTAAGGAGGGAAGGAAACAGGCATGCCATATAGGGTCCCAATGACTTACTGTGGATGTAAAGTAATAAATTAGCCCAAATAAATGGACCCCAAATAGTATATTCAAACACTGTTCTGATATTCTAAATCATTCTATAAAAAATGTTTGAGGTCATAATCCTCATTCAAGTCATCCGGATGGAGTGTTTCCAAAATACTAATCCACTTTGTTTCCTTACATAAGAGTGCTTTTTGTCTATCTCCACCCCTCCGCAACGGTTTAACGCTATCAATTACTTGAAAACGTAATTGGTTGACATTATGGCCTTGCTGTAGAAAATGCCTCGGTACCGGTTTGTCACATGTCCCTTTCTGAATGGCAGCTCTTATGTCCCTCTTATGTTCTCCAATGCGCTCTTTCACTGGCCTAATTGTTTCCCCAACATAGAGAAACCCACAGGGGCATTTCAAGATGTAAACCACATATTCTGAGTTGCATGTATAATAATCAAGTATTTTAAAGTATTTTAATGCCTGATCGTGGATGTACAAAACACTTACCCCTGATTACATTGTTGCAATTTATACAATTTAGGCACGGGAACGTGCCTTTCTTGGGTTCAAAGAAAAATCGTCTCTGTTTCTTGTTACTACCAATGTCCGAATGCACTAATTTGTCCCTAAGATTCTATGCTCGTTTATACGAGAATAGGGGAGGATTCCTAAATTCGTTTTGGCAAATTAAGATCGTCCTCTTAGATGTTCCAATGTTTCATTATAATCTTTTTAATAGCATTGCTATGAGGTGTATATGGTGATATAAATGGGATTCTTTGTGTAGTGTTCTTCTTACCAATCGGGTTAAGCATTTCTTCCTTGTCCATATCTGAAATCCTGGTTCTGTGTCGTGTCACTAGTTCTAATGGATAACCCCTATCAATAAATTTATTGCACATGAACTCCATCCATAAACCAACCAATCCGTGTTCTTAGCCTAATTGCAGGGTGGGGCAAAGCTTTATAAGCCTACCCAGCCCTGCGGAGCTCATTCTGCGCCGTGCCCTCGCCGGGTGAAGATGGATTAATTTTTTTAGCGTCAGGGTTGTTTTTTTTTGCGCTCTGGTTTATTTTATTTTAAGTTCGACAGGTATGATGTTTTTTTATTTGGCCTTTTTTGTGGCTGAAAAATGAAGATTTTAGAATATAGAAGACATCAAATATTTTTCTTTTTCTTTACAGTTTAGTTATTTTATTCCCCCCTCACTATTTTTAGGGTGAGGGGTAGTTTTTTATTTGGGTATTTGGGTGTGGTGGGGGGGTGACTAAGGGCTAAGGGACCCCTAGTCACCTTTGAAGGGTTTCATTTAGGGCCCCCACCCGCCACTCAGGTGTGGAGGCCGAGGAGGAGGACAGTATGTTCCCCCCACATTCTTATTTAGGGCCCCCACCCGCCACTTAGGGGTGGGGGCCCGGCGGGGAGGACAGTAGGTTCCCCCCACATTCTTATTTAGGGCCCCCACCCCCGGCTCAAGGGTTGGGGCCGGAGGGGAGGACAGTAGGGTCCCCACCTGCCACGTGGGGGCTGGGGAGAGGATTGTAATTCCCCCCCACATTATCCTTTAGGGCCCCCACCCGCTGCTACGGGTGGAGGGCAATAGTTACCCCCCCCCCCTTCATTATCCTTTAGGGTACTGGCTGCTCACTGTTTACTAGACATGCCCCTACTCGTGACATAGCGAGTAGGGGCTGAATTTACTAATACTTAGTATTAGTAAATTTGACTGAAAGACCAATTTAGGTCTTTCAGCCTTTTGGTAGATAGCTCCCTAATACCGTGGGAATGAATAAGATCAAAGTTTCATTCATTCAATTGAAATTCCGATACGAACAAAGTCCCGAATTGCGTTCTAACACGAATTGAGAAACTGTTCTCATTCTGTTAGGACGCAATTCAGTAGTTTTGCCGGCGTTCTGTCTAAGTGACAGGACGTTCGACAATACTGACAGGAAGCATCGCAGGAACAGGGAGGAAAGCTAAGGATTGTAGGAAAATTTCTCTGACCACCGGAAACGAAGTACACTTTGCTCTTCCGCTGGTTATAGCTATTCAGGCATAGGAAACATCCATAAGAGAAATAGTCCCTACTTTGTCTTATGTTTTAAAGAAAACTAGAGAAGATAAGAAGAAATAAAGAACAGATCCTGAGAGAGGGGGAAAAGAGGAATAGATTGGAGAAAGGTAATTTCGGCATGACAGCACCGCTTTAAGTACAATAATTTAATGCAAGCTGTGACCTAACCCTCCATGCAGTACAGGTTTTAAAAATATGATCTGCCTTCTTAAGTCCAGGCAATCCAGATATTTTATTAAGGTACTTAAAATAATATTTGATTATAGTTTTGTAATTTTTACTTTTTTTTTCTAGAGTTTGTGCTGATGCAAATGATGAAGCTAAAAGTGGCGTGCTAGCACAGGCTGAAACACATGAAAATATTTTCCTTCCTGGAAATTGGCAACATTTGGCTTTCACTTACCAAGAGCAATCTGAAAGTAAAAAAAAAGCCTGCAGCAAAATAACCATGTGGGTCTCAGGTCAAAGGTAAGCGTGTTTTGTTAAGTAGAATACATGAGAATATAGAAATGCTTGAATGTTGACTAATGTGGACTAAATCAGCATTAAGTTATACTTGATTCGTAGCAGGAAAGTGGAACAGATATTTATTTATTTTTTTCTAGCCAAAAGAATTTATGAATATATATGAATTTTATTTAAAATGTGTATCTATATTTACAGTTTGAAAAAAATAAAATAACATAATGCTGAAAAATCATTGATATTTTAATACCTATTTCAGCTTTTAGTATGCATTTTAAAGGTCTTACATGTGAATCATAATCCTCCTAAAGACCCAGAATAAGTTGTGGAGACCATCATTAGCAGTGAAGCATTTTGTCCTATTCTTTAAACATGAAATGTTTTAGGTGTTATTGGATATATCAAAATTAAACCCATTCAACAGCACTAATCCAAACTGAATTATACCTATACACCCACAATAACTATATGTCATCAACTAGAATTGTCACCGAGAGGATATTTGGGCTATAAAATAACCGGTTAAGTGTCAAATTGTATTGGTGGATCCTTAACATTATGACCTGGATATGGTGTGTGTAATTATCATGTGTTGCATTCTTTTTTTTTATTACATTTTAATTAGTCATTTTTATTAATGTCCTTGCAAGTGAAAATACAAAACCAACATAAATTACACATGAAAATACAATTAAATACATGAAAATTATTAAATTCCATAAAGGCAATAACAGTTGCAATAATAGGTATGAATGTGCCTATTCGTGGGATGACATAGAACACAGTTTGTGCATGCAACACAAAAACTGCAAACGAGTATAATACGGGCAAGGTTTATACCATAGATCAGGCGAGTCCTTGAGGCTTTATATATGGCTAGTGGAAATTCATAGTCGTAGGTAGCTGTAGAAAAAGGCGTATTTGGGGTCTTGGGTATGTCCAGCTTCAGTCCTCCCTTTATCAGTACCATGTACTGCCATGAAAGGTATGCTCTGGTATAGTATAAAATGAAATCTGATATGATTTGAAAGAGGAGAGGGTGAGAGCTGATAAAAAAGCTGATAAGGTTGCGGCAGGTCCTCGCAGGGTACCTTTGCCATGGCTGCCAAGGAGCCCTAGGGTGTCCCCCTTTACTGGAAACCATGTCTGGACACCTTTTTTTGTTCTACCTGTCCCCATAACATTTCCTCTATCACTTTGATCTCCTTGACTCTAGCGATTCAGTCTCTAATTGTAGGTATTGTGCGTTGTCTTCAGAAGCATGGAATCGGGCTACGGGTGGCATTTATCAGGTGAGGGATTACATAGTTTTTGTAGATTGTCAGTAGTATACATGACAGATGAACTAAGCAGAGAACCGGTGAAGAGGATAGTTATGTGTCAGTGAGTGAGATGAGGATGTGATGTACTGCCTTCCAGAAGGGCAGTATGATTGGACACGACCACCGTATGGGAAAGCATTCTAGGTCAAATCCGGATATAGCTATAGCAAGTTTCTCCAGTGTTTTATACCAGTGGGATAATATTTTATATCTGGATTCCTCGTATTTGGTGTTGATGGGGGATTTGTGTGTGAGGATGAACGTCTCCATCTATTGTTCTTCAGTCATGGTATGTCCCTGTAGCGGAGAGGTAGTATCATCCACAATATCTCCGCTGGTAACAGGAACAGCTTACAATAATCCAGGCAAAATAAGTACAGCATACAATAATCGCGGTAGCGTTAAATTCTTCCTTCCCAAGAACTAGACGACACATAGGCTGGGAGTCAACTCATAGTGTCTGTCTTCCATCCCCAGTGATGGTGACTACCGTCACAGTCCCATATCTCATTGCCAGTATCTGGTGAAATATGTGAGGGAATGGTCTTCCTATGGGACGATTAATGTTCAATATAGGACTAAGATAGCATGTGGCAGAGGGGCTGATGCCATGCTTAACTCTTGGTAGGTATGGCATCAGTTGTCTGTTCGCGGTCTGCAGGTTCAGAATGCGTGTAGTAAGTGTACTAGCTGTATTGGTGTACTAGCTGTATTGGTATCGGAATATGAGTAGCAGAGTAAGTAGCTTGGTAGGTGTCAGTACAGTCAGGGGCAGAATGGTCCCATGTCCCTCAGACGACATGGGGAAGGCAAGTCCACGGAGAATGTGAATCGTGGGGGAATAGCCAGAGGAAAAGAATGGTTAGTTTATATCGGGCATATTGGAAAGACAGTGGGTGCAATTCCTCGTTAACTAACCATTTTTCTCCACACTGCCAATGTGGACAAAATGGTCGGGTGTATGTCTTGTGGGTTGCTTTGCAAAGTCAGGGGAAACCATGACTGTAGACTCAGAGGGGTCTCTCAGAGACCGCTATTCCATGTATATCCTAAGCTTAGCATGTGGAGCATTTGTCCACTTCAGGATGTGCTAGAGGTGGATCGCTTTGTGGTATGTGGCCATGTCTGGAAGTCCCAATCCTCCTAAGTGCTTTTTGGTCTGGAAGGTGATGCCTAATAGAGGACACGGTTGGGTAAAGAACATCTAATGGAGATGAAGTCTGGAGGAGGGTAGGGAAGGCAAGGGAGGATGTTCACCTTTAAGACACTTACCCTCTCACCCTCTCAAGTCATGTTATATGAGGAAGTTGCCAGGAGTGTTTCTTCACCTTATTAATCAAAGATGGGAAGTTGATGTCAGAGAGGAATGCAGGAATCATAACCCCAAGATATGTTCTAGCCTCTGTACACCATTGAAACAGTAACATGGTCTTGAGCACAGGGTCTGGTCGCATCCTACGCTGAGAATCTCAGATTTGGTGAAATTGATCTTGAGGTTGGAGAGCATGCTAAAGTGGTCGAATTCCTTCATGATGGCCATCAGTGAGGTTTTGGGATTAGATAACTGTTATCCCAGGGTTGTTGTGAACAGAGTTCAGGAAAGGTTTGAGGCTGAGATCCTGCCGGGTTACGTTTCGAATCCTGAACGGGTGTGATAATATGCTATTAACGTGTACCTGTGCAGAAGGCTCAGAGTACAGGAATTTCACCAAGGCCAGCATATGAGGTCTGAAACCTAAGCCGTGAAGCGTGTCTATTGCCTTTTCAGCATCTGTAGAGACCAGGAGGTTAGAGAAATGTGTATTCTGGGCCACATAAGTCAGGTTAATGACTTTGGTGGTGTCTCTGGCCTCTCTCCCATTAACTAACCCCACCTGGTCAGGGTGTAGTAGGGCTGGTAGAAGTTGTTGGATGTAGAGAGGAAGGACCTTCGCAAACAGTTTAAGGTTGGCATTTAGCAGTGAAATAGGTCTGTAGCTTGGGCATACAGAGGGGTCTTTTCCCTCTTTGGGAATTACTACTGTATGCACCGATAGTGTAGCAGGGTCTACATGACATGCCTGCATGGCATTAAACATGCGCAGTAAATGCAGAGACAAGACGTTGAAGAAGATTTTGTAATATTTGATCGTTGGGTCATCCGGGCCTGGGCTTTTTATTTTTTAGTTAATTTCAGTGATAGGGAAAGTTCATCAAGGGAGATCGGCAGCATCCAAAACAGACGATAGCTTGTGTTTGACCTAGTCGGATTGGAGGGTTGCTAGTTCTGACATTTGTTACCCTCCGTCCAGGGTGGAGGGAGAGAGGTTGTACACATAGTATTTTTTAAGGTTTTTTTTTTTTTTTTTAAACCTTCTGCAATGTCAGTAGGTGTTTTATGGATCCGGCTTCCATAGGCAGCCTTGGGGACAGTAGACTTTTTGTCTATTTTGTCGTAGAGTTTTGGCAAGTATCTTCCTGCTTTTATTGTTGAATTCTGTGATGAGACCAATCTTGCCACATTGCATTGGAGAAGCCTGGTTGCTCGCCTGTTGCCTTTGGATTATGGCCCCATGTTAAAAGACTTCTTTTCCCCTGCAGAAAAGGCTTATTCGTGCCTTTCTGCCTGGCGGTCGGTAGATTCAATCTACCGAACTAACGCACGAATGACTGGACCACCTGGGAGCTGGAGTGTGTCGGCAATTAACCTCCCAGAAGCTGCGATTAACCGCAGCTTAATTGACGAATGCTAGGTGGCCGCCATTCGTATACCGAACACGAGGTCGCGGCCATTTTAAAAACGCGAACGCTCAGCGGTGTTCGACACCCAACTCATGGAACTGAAAACGGATACATTTTGGCGCGAACACCGCTGAAGCCGCCGACCTCCCTTCTTGTTCGGTAGATGTGCACGAACGGCCCTATATTCGGTAGTTGTACCCGAATACACCATACCCCAGATAGGAATCCCGTGGAGCTCATTCGTATGAAAACTGACTTTGTGAACACTTTGGCTCCACGGCGATTGGACTGTGTGCATAGGATCTGAGCGCTATTCGGTACTTTGGTGCGCTCAGATCTTAGTTATCTGGGGAAATGTTGAATGCCTGTAAAATGTTGTAAAATATAAGTTATGTATTTTTTTTTTGTTATTGTCATCTAAAATGGCGTTTAGGCTCTGTCCTAGGAGATAATTGAATTACTTCACAATTATCTCCCTGAGCAGAGCAGAGGTTTCTGGGTAAGAAAAGGGGGATGGCTAAGTGTGTACCCTGTGATTGGTTGCTACAATGTCTTTGTCACAGTCTTCCATCTGGTTCCCTAGGGGAGTGTCCACCAGGTGGGAGACCTGCATAAATACTGGGCAGGTAGCCCTCATTAAACAGACCACTGCTTGACACTCAACACGGAGCTCTGTCTCGTTCTTGGTGGGATTTACTGTATGCTGATAGAGACTGATTGCTAGGAGTGTAAGCCGCTTGGGTGTTTTTCCTATTCGGGAGTTTGGAGTGCTATTTTGTATGCAGTTCAGGAGTTTGGAGCATTCCCTTATATGCGGTTCGGGAGTTTTGTGTTCTGCAGTAGCTGTGCCTGTATCTCTGGAAGGGGAAGATCTCCTAAACAGCGGTTTAACCCTTTTATGCCTGGGGGTGCCGTTACAAATTCATATAAGGATTTCTTAGCCTTTTGGAAGTTAGTTTAAAGTTGAGCTTGGCACGTGCAGCAGCTAATTTGAGGTATGAGGCATCATCTAAGGAGTTTTTGTGCTAGGTTTTGAGTTGGGAAATCTATCAGGATCTCACCATTTAATCTTGGCATTCCTCCATGTTGTTTTCGGCATGATCGACAATACCCTTGTCACTTCCGGGTTTCGCCGATCAGTCTCCGCCCATACGTTTAATGTCACACGCTTTCCTTCAAAAGGAAGCCGCATTCACGTCTAAATTGCTCAATCGATTTTGTGTTGAGTTGTGCTGTCATGTGTATTACTCTACATATGTTTCCAATTGTTGTGCTTCTTGACTACCTACTTTGCCGACGGAGTGTTCATCACTCATTAGCAAAATAAGTTCTCCCAGTCTGGGATCTATTATCGGTTCTTACCTCCTTACCTGTTTTTTGTTTGTTTTTTTATCTGAAAGTAGGAGATGTTTTTGAGTGTATAACAGAGCTCCACAGCAATAATACTTCCAGTACTGTGTCTTTAACTGCATTAAATGTGTTTAGAAATTAGACTGTGTAAATAAGATGAATTGGGTTTTTAGTGATGCGCGATGACATAGCACGTTTGCATGCCACACGCGCGTTCTGAGGTAGGGGCGGACAGATACCTCGGTGGGGATGAAAAGCTGCTAACCAATGCTGAATTCGCGCTGACTCGCAGGATGCCAATGGTGGAGGGTCCTGGAGGAAGGAGAGCGAGTTCAGACTGCAGCTGACTAGGCACAAAGACTGAGGTTGCAGTGGTCTCTAAGAGGTGAAGGAGGGGAGAATAGCCCAGACTCCTCCCGGAGATCTTTAATTGGAAAGGAGAAAAATAAAGCACAGAGTAAAATAAGCTGGTCACAGATAAGCTAAAGCTAAGAGGTCTACAATCAAGCTAAGTAAACCATCTCTTTTAAACACATCTCAATTACCATGTTCCTTGCTCATGTATATGTAGAAAATAACATATTAATCAAAAGGAACAAAAAGAGAAAAAGAAAAGGATTGTCTTTGTCGTATTGAAAACGGAAAAAAAGAGAGGGAAGTAACAAAGGATAAGTGGAAAGGAAGAGAGAAAAAAGAAGAAAAAAAAGAGGAAAAGGGGAATAGAAAGAGGAAGAAAAAGAGGAAAAGAAGAGAAGAGAAAGGGGGAGACAAAGTTATATCATAACTTTGTGTTAAGATAATTCTATTATTAAAGCGCTTCTTAATCTGATAATAAGCACTATACTACTAATAGCAAATAAAATTGAATACTCACCTCTCTACCCAGCCTATTTAAAAAAAAAAAAAAAAAAAAAAAAAAAAGTTGACTAATATATCATATACAGATACTATTAGCAACTGCTGGGTTAATACCCTCACTATCTCTCAACTTTGTTTACTCTATACTGCGAAATACTGGTTGTTTGTTTGATTCTGTTGTTTTCAGGGTTTTTTTTCGCCTCCGTTTGTCCTTTTTTTTTTTTTCAAGGAATTAAACGTGTTTACGACTTTTTGAATACAGAATTAGTATATATAAAAGTATATAAAAAATTAGCTACTTAAGCTATCTTTAAAGCACTATTCATACATTTACGAAATTCTTCTTTAAGATAGGAATGATTTACTTAATTCTAACAAAATAGCACAGTTCACTTTTAGTTTTAAGTATCTATGCGCATACTAATGCGCTTTAACAATATAAACACACATATTTTTTTTTCCCTTTACTATCAAGAATGCACAATCTAAATAATAAGATGCACCTCTCTGAACTAGTGTTTACACACAAAATTAGCTAGTTAATAAATCACTATTGATATAGCTATAAAATTCTTCTCTAAGATAGGAACAATTTATCTAACACTAAAAGTATGGCACAATTCACACATAGAGAGCGTCAGGTACCTATACACATATTTATGTGGTATAATTAATAAGATGCACTATGAATAATTTGTTTTTGCACAAGTTTAATTATTATTACACTATTCATATAGTAATTTATAGAATTATGATTACACTATTCATATAGTAATTTCATATAGGAGTTTAGTATGTATACATCTGCATGAGTGTTTATATATCTGTTACTACTAAAGCACACATTTTACATTCATAAAATATTTCTACAGTTATTAAACTCCTATTTAAGATAGGAGAAATGTAACTAATTCTAACTAAATAGTACAGATCATATGCAGAGAGGTTTATGTATTTATGCACATATGTACAAAACGTGTAGATATATACATATTACGTTAGCAATATTTGTTTTTTTATTTATTTACTATATTTTTTTTTAGATTCAAAGTTTTTATTTTCGTAAGTTCAATAGATCAGTGGGGTACAGAAAGGAAAAAAGGGGGAGGGGCATGCGCAGTATCGCGTAATAATACAGTACAATACAATGCAGTACAGCGTGTTACAATACAGTGTGTTACAGTACAAACGGGCGCAGTTAATTGTAGGCGTCAGTGGCAGTTCTAATCAAGAACAAAACCTCAGTGGCACAATGATAGTATGGTGATGTTCCGGGTATAGGGGACATTCCCTGCAAGGCTCAGTATTACCGCCACGGCTGCGATATGGTGCATGCTAATAGTAATGCAACGTTGTAAGTATAATGAGGCTTGTTGTCTGGTTGGGTAGGTTGGCTCATCAGGTGTGAGGGGTATCGCATAGTGGTACAGTACAATACAGGGTAGCACAATGCACCACAATGTAGTGCAATGTGTTACAATACAGTGCGTTACAGCCCATACGGGCACCGCCAGGTCCATGCAGCATTGGCATCTCTGATTAGAAACAGAACCTTAATTTCACGTTGTTAGAGTAGTGATGTTACAGTTAATGGAGCCACTATGAGCAAAGGTCAATACTATTTCGGTGGATGCATTATGACGCATGCTAACATTAATGCAACGTTATTGAGATGATGAGGCTTGCTATCTGGTTGGATAATTTGGCTGATCGGGTGCGAGGAGTATCTCCCAGTGATATGATACATTACAATACAGTACAACGTAATACAATGCAGAACAATATTTTACAATACAGCGTGTTACATTACATGCGGGCACAGCCAGGTCTATGCCTCGTAGGCATTTCCAATCAGAAACGTAACCATAGTGTCACACTGGTGAGATAGAGTTGTTGCAAGAAATGGTGGCATTCTGATCAAAGAGCAGAGCCAGAGCAGCGGATACGCTGTGCCACATACAATGGTAATGCAGCGTTGTAAATGCAGTGTGACTCGTTGTCTGGGTAGGTAGTTTGCGTATATGGCTTGGTGTTTATCTCTGTCTGTGCTAGTACCGTCTGGTTCCCTGGTGATCGTGTTGCCTAGCTTGAACGGTTTGTGTCAGCTATGCTGTCGTAAAATTCGACAGGCGTAGGGTTTATTTAGTGTTTGACTGTTCTTCCCAAAGGTCTGTCCATGATGCCCAGGAGGCCTGAAAGGCCTTTTTTTTTTGAGGCAGTGTTTGTGGACATATATTCGTAGGTGTAGTATTGGTGTATTTTGGTTAGGAGTTGGGATTTGGAGGGGCATTGGGTGTGTTTCCACTGGGTTGCGATGAGGTTTCTCACTGCTAGGGCAGTGAGAGCCATTTTGCATTTGTTATGCTTTGGGGTTAGTTTCGGGTATAGGAGGAACAGTCCCGTGTGTATGTCCAAGGGGGGTGTCTGGATGCCCATGGATTTTAGGACAGTTTGTGCCACCTTCCATATGGGTCTGATTCGTGGGCATGTCCACCATATGTGCATCATCGTGCCCGTCGCCTCGCCACATCTCCAGCAGAGGGGCGACACAGTTTTGTACATTGTGTGTAATTTTTGGGGTGTTAAATACCACCTGTAGACCAGTTTTTTGTGGGCTTCAACGTGGGAGTAACACCGTGTGAGACCTTTCAGAGCGTGGGGGGAGGCAAGTATTTCTTCGTTAGTGAGCATCATTCCATCGTCTGCAAGCCACTGGGTGACGTAAGCAGGGACATGCGGTGGCGTCAGTTTTAAGAGTGTGTGGTAACATAGCGCAAGGGTTTTGTTTTTAGTTGGGGTTTGCCAGCATCTGTCGTATAGCAGGTCCATTACTTTGGATCTTGGATTGTCAATTGTTGACGTGTGTGCCACATGCGATGGAATCACGCTTTGGAGTTGCATATAGGGGAAGACTGAGGAATTGGTTAACTGGAACTCCCTCTGTAGGTCTGGGAATGGTCTGATAGTGTCATTTTGTAAGATCTGGTCTAATGAGGTGATGCCTACTTTTGCCCAGGACCTCATCGAGAGCCAGGGTGATATCGCCTTCAAGGCTGTTAAAGGCGTGCGTGGGTGGAATTTGTGCGTGGTGTTCTGTTTGTGTCGCAGCTGGTCCCAGTGATAAATGGTTAGCGATGTGGTCGGGAACAGATTCCCAATCTTAGGGCGGAACGGTTTGGGGGTCCATAAGAATTCTTTTAGGGGTGTTGAGCCTGTTTGGGTGGCTTCCATATCTACCCATTGGAGTGTGCCTTTGGGTACGTGTAATTTAACCGCGGTTTCTAAGATCGCCGCTTTATAATAATTGTGTAGGTCTGGCAGTCCTACTCCACCTTCCGCAGTGCGTTGGTGTAGTAGACGGTGAGCCAGTCTGGGTTTGCGGGATTCCCATATGTATGAGGATAGGGTCTGTTGGAGTGTTTTAAAGAATGCGAGTGGTGCTCTTATCTGCAAGAGGCGGAATATGTAGAGCAGTTTCGGGAGCAGGGTCATTTTAATAGTATTTATTCTGCCTAGCCATGACAGTTTTACAGGCTTCCATTGGAGGCAGGTCGACTTACAAAGAGGGAGCAGTGGTTTGTAGTTGTAGTGGAACGTGTCATTCATTGTGGGCGCTATCTTGACCCCTAGGTAGGTGATATAGTCTTTTCTCCAGTCAAAGTTATATGTCTGGGTAAGGTCTTGGGTCTCAGAGCGTGGTAGACCTATAGGCAAGGCTTGGGTCTTGGTTTGATTCATCTTGTAGTATGTTAGTGTGCCATATGTGTCTAGTAACTGTATCAGCGTTGGCAGGGATGTTGGTACATCGCTTAACGTCAGGAGGATATCGTCCGCAAACATGGAAAGCTTGTATTCGGTGGCACCGATGGACATTCCTCTAATATTTGGATGATGTTTAATGATGTGTGCTAGGGGCTCTAAGGAGAGGACGAATAACAGGGGAGAAAGGGGGCAGCCTTGCCTGGTCCCATTAGTAATAGCAAATGGCGTAGAGATGAACCCGGCATTCGCTACCTGTGCCGTGGGGTTGTTGTACAGAGCCGTTATGCCTGAGATGAGGTGAGGGGTAAAGCCGAACGATTGCAGGACGTGTCGCATGTAATCCCAGTTGAGTCTGTCAAAGGCCTTCTCGGCATCCAGTGCCAGGAGAAGACCCCTAGTGTGGTGAGTGTTTGCATGTGCAAGAATATTAAAAATTTTCCTAGTGTTGTCCGAGCCCTGTCTCGTTTTTACAAAGCCAGATTGGTCATTATGAGTGAGCTTGGGGAGGATTTCGGATAGTCTGTTCGCTATTAATTTGGCATAGAGTTTGGTGTCTGCATTGAGTAGGGAAATGGGCCGAAAATTAGGGCAGTGTGTGGGCGCTTTTCCCGGTTTCGGAAGCGTAGATATGTGGGCTTTCAGCATCTCGGGGGGCAGAAATCCCTCAGAGAAGCAGTAGTTGAAGAGTGCAGTCATATGTGGGGAGAGGATCTGTGCAAAGGATTGATAATAGAGATTGGAATATCCGTCTGGGCCTGGTGCTTTATGCTTGGGCAGTTGTGCGATAGTTTTTGCTAATTCTTGTGTGGTAAATGGTGCAGATAGGGCACTGATGTCTTCAGGAGTGAGTGTGGGTAGGTTCGCCGCAGCCAAAAAGGCCTGAAGAGCAGGTGGTTGGGGTGGGGTGGTCCCGGGGTCTTCTTTAAGATTGTAAAGGGTGCTATAGTATGAGGCAAATGCCTCCACTATATCCTGTGGGTTGGTAAGTTTTTGCTTCGAGCTCGTGCATAAGTAGGCTATCCTGGAATTTGCAGCCCGTGTTTTGAGTTGCGCTGCCAGGAGTGCCCCTGCTTTGTTGCCGTGCATAAAAAAGTTATGTTTGTATCGTCTAAGCATAAAGGTCGTTCTTCGCAATTCTAAGTCTCGGAGTTTGGTTTGTAGCGTTAGTATTCGGCGTTGTAGGGTTTGTGTTGGGGCCGTTTTATTATCGTGGGTAAGTTTTGTTAATTCCGAGATGAGGGTAGTATATTCCTTAAGTCGTTCTTTTTTAGCATAGCTACCTGCTCTAATGAGCTGGCCCCTAATGACTGCCTTATGTGCCTGCCATACAGTGGACATGTCCACGTCGGGGGTCATGTTTATTTGGAAATAGGAGATTAGCTCCTCTTTTATTTGTTCGTTGACTTTGGGGTCTGTTAGGAGATAGTCGTTCAACCTCCATGACCCCTTGCCCGTAGAGGGGAAGTGTTTCTCGATAGAAATTGTGATAGGCGCATGGTCCGACCAAGTGATCAGGCCTATTTGGGCCGATAGGACTTTGTGCATCGCTGAGGCTGGAAGGAGAAATCTGTCTATTCTGGTATATGTATTGTGCGCCGAGGAGTGGAAGGTATAGTCCCGTTCTAATGGGTGTAGGATTCTCCAGGGGTCTAGAAGGTTGTTTTGCAGTATTTGGGTACAGAGTGCTGACGTGGTTTTATTTTGTTTGCGAGTTGTCGCAGGAGTACGTTTGTAGGTCGAGGTTGTATCTAATGTACAGTCTAAAAGGAAATTGGTGTCTCCTCCCATGATGAGGTCCCCAAAGTGATATCTGTTGGTTAACGCAAGAATGTTATCTAAGAATTCTGTTTGGTTCGTGTGTGGGCCATAAAAATTAAGGAGGGTATAAGGCTCATTGTTAAGGTAGCATTGTAGTAAGAGGAATCTCCCATGTTTATCTCCCACTTTTTTAACTAATGAGAATGCCACTGTTTTGCTGATAAGGATAGAAACGCCTCTTTTCTTTTTTTTGTAGCAGGAATGGTAGTCGTGGGGGAATGTTGCGGAACAGAATTTGGGGCGGTTGCCCCATTTAAAGTGGGTTTCTTTGTAGAATGCGATGTGGGATTTGAGTTTTTTCGCTTCGTCTAAGGCTAATCTCCTCTTGTGCGGGGAGTTAAGCCCCTTGGTGTTAAGAGACAATATCGTGAGTGTCATTTATGGTGATGAGGCCAGGTAGCTGTGTGTGGTGTGGAATGACCTTGTGTGAATGTCACATTCTGCCAGTTTGCGTCTGTCTTCGCAGATCCCTGTGTTCTATGAGGGGTTGCCTTAGGAAGTGGCCCTATATTCGGTTGTCTGGTTGTAACACTGAAGTCATATGCGCTCATCCTGTGAGCTGTACGTGGTAGTGCGAGAATTGTGCTGTTGGGTAATTGGGAGATCGGGGGTGGGTAGTAGGTGAGCTGGGTACGGGGGGGTAACTGGGAGTATATACAAATATCCGTCTCGGCGAGAGCCTTGTGTTTGCAGATGGGAATAACACGGCTCCCTTGAGCCCGGGGGGGGGGTTGACAAGTATAGGGATGGTCGACCCTCCGTGTCAGGGGAGATTCGGGTTTGCCCATGGTCTTAGGTTGCCTAAAACCCTGGCGTGGCTGTGATGAGCGTCCTCTAAGGGTGTCTCACATATATTTACCCATTGTCCTCTATAGTGTTAAAATTTTTTTTTTTTTTTTTTTTGCTTGTGGTGTGAGGCAACATATTCTCCTGCCACGTTTCGCTCAGTGGGGTCGGGACTACAGGGGCTCAATCCTTAGTTTGGTCACCCATGTAAGCCTGTCGGCAGCCTCACTGACGTCGCCACGGTGACCGGAGCCCCGGCACCGCGGCAAGGTCCAGCAGGCGGGTGGGAGTGACACAAAGTGGGCCATGGTTATATACATATAGTGAATAAACGGTTGTGAAACAGTAAATATAAACTCAAAGGGTATAACTGTGTAAAGTTCACAATAATGAGGAAGTTGGGCTATTTTGCCCGGTATCAGAGAAATAGGTGAAGGCTGTGCCAATGTCACTTATCTGCAGCGACTGTATTCCAGTCGTTCTGGAGTCTCTGCGGGGGTCTGCGTTGTTCTTTGCTCGTCTCCTGAGTGCGTTGGTGCGGTAGAGCAATGCCCCATTCAGCCAGGATCTTTTTGCCGTCGGCTTCGTTAGTGATGTGCCGGTCTGTTCCGTTCCGTCTTATAATCAGCCGAGCCGGAAAGCCCCATCTGTAGAGCACATTTGCTTCGCGCAAGGCTCTCGTTATCAGGGAGAATTCTTTCCTTTTCTGGAGGGTGGATGCAGAGAGGTCGATGTATAACTGGACTCCCTTGAATTTATCCGGTAGGGCTTGCGCACGTCTGGAAGCTCTCATGATCCTCTCTTTGGTGGTATAGTAGTGCAGTTTGGCTATTGCATCTCTTGGTGTTGATGCTGGCAGGGCCTTCGGTTTCAGCAGCCTGTGAATACGATCAATGAGGAAGTCGGACTGTGGGAGATCAGGGACCAGATGTTGAAAGAGGCTTGTGGCGTAGGCCTGGAGTTCTTGGGGGGGGGACCTCCTCTGGTATGCCGCGGAGGCGGATGTTACTGCGCTGGTCCCTATCCTCATGGTCGGCGACTTTTTCCATCAGACGGCTCAGTTGCTCTTGTATGTCTGTATAGGCATCCGCCAGAGTGTTGTGAGCGGAGATAATTTCTTCTGCTTTCTCCTCTAGGTGCGATGTTCTATCTCCAAGCGCCTGGATGTCCATCCTTATGTCTCTCGCCATTTTGGTGAGGTCGGCTTGCAGGGAGGTCTGCATGGCCTGTAGCATCTTGTGGACCGAGAGGTCCGTAGCTGGGGCCATCGTCGGTTCAGAGACTGAGGTGATGTCGCTGGCGTCAGAGTAGGCCGCTGGCGAGCGCAGCGAATCGGCGCCATCTTGGGCCTGCGAGCGCGGCGTCGAAAGCATTTGTATTTGCAGCAGGGATTGTTTCTGCTTCGGTTTTTTGGCAGATTTGGATGCCATGCTTTGAGGGTACCTGTAGTAGGTTCTGTCGTTGGGTATGGGCAGATTAAGCTGTTCTAATAGCTGTGGAGGGTCAGTTTATGGAGGAGCTAACAGCTCATGCGACCGTCCGGTTGAGCTGTCAGGCCACGCCCCATATTTACTATATTTTTATTTCTCTCTATCTTTGAGTATATAGTATATCTAATTCCAGCGTGGTATCTATCAATGTTCCGCCCCATACTTTGCATCTTCAAATGAGATGCTCTTTTCATAATGGGTTTCCATTACGGATATCGAACTAAGGTCTATACGCCCTAAAGTTTTTAAATTTGTTGAACGAAAAGCGGATCAGATGTGGATCCTTTTTTGTCTGTGGTGTAGTATGTATTTTTTTAGGATGTATTTTAATGTTTTTGTATTGTTTGGCGGCTGAGCTCACAGAGTAAAAAAATTGTTCTTAACCCCTTCAGGCCGGAGTCAATAGTACACTGATCAAAACAAAATGTAAACAAAAACTGGAATTTGCACTATGTCTGTTCAACCATAATTCACCTCTTTCATATTATATGCACCCACACTTATATATCATTTTGTTTTTTCACATTGAAATTTGCCAGATTAGTAATGTTACCTTTGAGACCGTATGGTAGCCCAGGAATGAGATTTACCCCCATGATGGCATACCATTTGCAAAAGTAGACTACCCAAGGTATTGCAAGTGGGGTATGTCCAGTCTTTTGTAGTAGCCACTTAGTCACAAACACAGGCCAAAGTTAGCGTTCATATTTGTTTTTGTGTGTAAAAAGCAAAAAACTAATATTTGGCCAGTGTTTGTAACTAAGTGGCTACTAAAAATGACTGGACATACCCCGTTTGCAATACCTTGGGTTGTCTACTTTTGCAAATGGTATGTTATCATGGGGGTAAAACTTATTCCTGGGCTACCATATGGTCTCAAAAGGCAACATAACCAATCTGGCAAATTTTAATGTGAAAAAAATGAAATGCAAGCCTTATATTTGACTCTCTAACTTTCCAAAATACCATAAAACCTGTACATGAGGGGTACTGATTTACTCAGGAGACTTTGCTGAACACAAATATTAGTGTTTCAAAATGGTAACTTGAATTACAACAATATCGTCCGTAAAAGTGCCGTTCATGTGTGAAAAATGCAAACAAAAGTCACTTTTACTAAAAATATTGTTGTTGTAATACAAGTTACCATTTTGAAACACTAATATTTGTGTTCAACGAAGTCTCCCGAGTAAAACAGTATCCCCCATGTACAGGTTTTATGGTGTCTTGGAAAGTTACAGGGTTAAATACAGTGCTTGCAATTCAAATTCTCTGCACTTTTTGCCTGGGTTGTCAGGCATGTCAATCAAATTTTAACTAATTAAATCACATAATTATGTTAAAATATTACTTAAATATACACTTAGAATTTTAATATATATATACATATATATGTATTTAAAGTCTACGTGTACACTTATGTAGTTATTTATGTGATTATATATAATTATCTGTGTGTGCATATATATATATATATATATATATATATATATATATATTTATATTTGCGGTTATTTGTATTTTATATATAGATAGATATAGAATGTCATTCTAAGTGTATTTTGTTACCAATATATATATTAATAACAAAATACAGTTAGAATGAAATTACATATGTATATATAATTTATTTAAAAACTTCTTAAAATATTTTATTTATTTTATTTATTATTGTAATTATACGTGTATATATAAATATAAAATATATAGATGTATTTTATATATATAATATATATATCTTATATGTAACGTCATTCTGTGTATTTTAATATTAATATATGTACTTATATTAATATTAAAATACATTAAGTATGACGTTACATATATATGATGTGTGTATATATATATATATTAAATTTATAATATATATATATATATATATATATATATATTATTATATATTATTATATTTATATATAAATACATTTAATTTATTTTAAAACATGTTTAATCATTTTTCTACACTTCCCACCAGCAGGGGGACTGTCTGACACTCCAGACAGTCCCCCTGCTGGCAGATCCACAGCCAGCTATAGGGACCATGTGATCGCTCTTTGAGAGCGATCACATGGCCCCCAGGGGCCTGATTTGCCTTGGGAGGACTGCCTGTGCTGTCAGGCAGTCCTCCAGAACAGGATCGCAGCAGAGGTAAGTACCTACGAGCTCCTGGGGCTGCAAGCCGTTACAGCGTTCTATGCCGCCGCAATGGCTTTAAAGCCCATTTAATGCGGGCCAGCATAGAATGCCGTAACTGCGTTAAGGGGTTATTGGTTAGAATTTTATCGGTCAATACACAGGGGTTAAGTTCACCTCACAAAAGGATTATAGTCTTAACTCATCTGACAAAAGAAAGGGTAGACATAACTTTGAATTGGGAATCTCAAAAATATCCAAAGCTGATAACTGCCTCTAAACAAAGTAAAAAAGTCTTGTGGAGTTGCTATCCTCTTCTCAGAAAGACTGCAAGTAGACATATATCAGTATTTAGGTATAGAAGGCCGTTGCCTGATTGTTGTATGTCTAATCAATGGCATCAAATATACCCTGGTGGATGTTTATCTCCCAAATATTACTCCAACTAGAACATTAAAAAAGATTCTAGATAAAATGGAGGAAGTTAAAGAAGGTATTCGTATAATCGCCGGAGATTTTAATTCTTTTTTAGATCCAACTCTTCACAAAAAAGGCCTGAAGGTATTGATATAAATAAATTAGTTATCAAACAAGCTAAATCTTTGAACAACATTCTAAATCAATGCAACATGTTTGATATATGGAGATTAATTCACCCTTTTGACAGGGATTATACCCATCTCTCCAAAACTCATATTTATTACTCACAGATTGATATGATCTGGGGAAACTCACTTCTTATAGAGGAAGTTAAAGCAATACAGATAATAGACAATGTGTGGTCAGATCATAGTATAATAAATATTGAAATACAAAATGGGTGTGCACAACTAAATAGATCTATGTGGAAGCTTAATGAGTTTCTTTTAAAATATAAAAGCAGTTATGAATATTTGAAACATAAAATATAATTTTTCTAATTAGAGAACAATCTTTAGGACACTTTGCCAATTAATAATTGGTGTGCTTTCAAGGCTGTTATGCCTGGACATCCTATTAAGCTTCAGAGTAGATTTAGAAAAAAACAAGGTAAAACATTATCAACTTTATTCCATACGCTTTATACCCTGTCTAAGAGGAGCAAGACTTTATTACAAAAAAAAAAAAAATCCTGACTGAAATAACTCAAGTCCAGAATAAAATCAAACAGTGTTTGTTAGAAAGAACAATAAACATTTTTTAGAAAAATTAAAGGTAAATTATTATTATAAGGGAAACAAAGCAGTTACATTGTTAACCAAGAAATTAAGAATGAAACAAACAAGTAATCAAGTATTTAAATTAATTGATTAAACTAATACATATATCCGTCCCCGAGATATAGGGACATGCTTTAATTCCTATTATTCTAAGTTATATAACTTGATCCCTCAAACAAATGAAGAACAAATCATCTTCGCTCCCTTCTTTGTCTGAAAATTAAAACAAATTCTTTCAATCAACCTATTTCTACCGGGGAGATACAGGCTGTAATTACCCAGCTCGAAAAATATAAGACCCTTGGTCCCGATGGATTTACCAACCAGTTCTATAAATTATACAGTCATAAAGTCATTGGAGCTATGGTTTCAACATTTAACAGCGTCATTCAAACAGGAGAATTCCCAGTTGAAATGACCAGAGCCAATATTATAATAATTCTAAAACAAGGGGAAAAAAAACCACAGAGGTGGTAAACTATTGACCAATATCATTAATAAACGTTAATGTTAAGATTTTTGCCTCAGTTGTATCTAATAGACTTAAACCTTTCGATAGAATACCTAACTCATCGGGACCAGGTAGGTTTTGTCCCGGGCAGAAATTCTGCAACAAATGTCCAAAGGGTGGTGGCGATTTCGCTAAAAAGAGATGCCTTCCCCTCCTGACTCTGTCACTGGATGCCTAGAAGGCCTTTGACAGAGTCGGGTGGGATTTTATGAAGTCTTCTCTGGAGAAATATGGTATAAGAGGTTTTTTTCGAAGAGCTATATTTTCCCTATATAAAACTCTTTCTGCTCGCACTATTGGACCTCGTATTACTGCAGATTGGTTCAAACTTTCTAATACCACAGGACAGGGGTGTCCCCTTTCTCTCTTACTTTATTTTAACCATCAAACCATTAGCGGTTAATATCAGAGACTGCTCAGAGATAAAGAGACTAATCGTAAATTCCAAAGAAGCTAAAATAACCTATATGCTGATGATATTCTCGTGACTATGATAGAATCTTTAAATCCCCTGGAAGCTCTAATGAATGAAATCAATGAGTTCAGTCAAGTTTCAAATTTTAAATTAAATATGTCTAAATCTATTCTGATGGTATTAAATGTGAATAAACTCCACATTGAGGAGATACACTCTCAATTTCACTTTTCCTGGGGGAAAAAAGTATTTTGACTATGTGGGTGTTAAAATTGTCAAAGATGTAGCTAAAACAACGGAGATACATTTTCTCAATATTTTCAGACAAACAAATGCAAAAATGAGGGAGTGGAGACAAGAGGATATTTTGTGGATGGGCAGAATGAATATTATACATGCATATTTTACCCAAAATGGCAATACCTGTTCAAGATGATCTACCTAAAATCCCAAATAGCTGGCTATTGATGATTCAAAATAGCTTTGATACATTTTTTAAGGGTTAGAGACCAAGAATCAATAGAATGGTATTGGCGAACAAAACAAAAAAAAAGGTGGAACCAATATGCCACTTGTGACGGACCGCTGGCACTCCGACTGAGTACCTCCGCCAATCGATGCTCCTAGTGCTCGCTGAGGACTCCAAGCACTCCAACCGACACCATCAGCACTGCAGACCCCACTTCCAGCGATGCAACTGCGCCGGGGTCTCTGCTGTGTCCACCCACCCTGGACCCAAGGCCAGGATCCAGCTTCCAGTGGGTGAACCTCTCTTTCCCCAGAGAGCAGGAACATGAACAAGCTCTTAGCAGAACTTAGTGATCATACCCTGGGGAGTATAGTGATTATAGCAATCCCCAGAGTGTATTTCTCCAATCCCCCAAACATGAGCCAAGGCTTAATGCTGGAACAAGACTGATTTACTGGCACACACAACTCCTCCTCTGGGCCAGGCTAGATAATTGAGTTTCTACAATACACAAAGCTCAATTATCTGCTGGCCAGAAATAATACAGTTTTTACAGCATTCATAACTTCTAAAATATACATCACATTCACATAAAAATTATATATTCACAATCGGCAAAAAGAAAAGAAAAATTGGAGATTCCCGTTCTGATAAAAATTAACACCAATGGAGCACAAATAAATTAAAACGTCACTTTTAATAAATCCAATAAAAAGTCCCTTAATCATAAGGGCTCTACACTCACTTTTGTGATAAACACGTGTTGCTACACCACATCTAAATGTAAATCACTAAATTAACGCTAAAAATTGTGATTTCACTAGAGGGAAAAAATGCCCACTCTAAGATATATAAGTCTGGTTTAGTGAAATCTTTCTCTATAAATAGTGCTAATAACTAAACTGTTAATAACTCAATTCTAGGGTGAACCCAGACTCTACTGTAATAAATTTACCAAAACATAATCTGAATTATTGGCGCTCCAATTCTGGATAAATGTAACCTCAACTACTGGTAAGATAGATTACTAGATACTCGTATGCTTACATATAAAGGTAGCTACTCAGACTGCTAGAATTAATCATCCTTAGTGCCCGATGTAACATTGTTGCTAATTTCTGTTAGCAGAGTTATCCTGAGTATAACCATATTATTTAACCCTGGGTACAATTTTATTGGACAGCATAGCTGCTTGTATAGTTTGTTAGCTGTTGAACGTGGGAAGAGAAAGAGGAGGATACAGTAATGAACAGTAATCCCCTTTGTTCGACCTGTGGGGCGGTATTTGTAATCGGATGGCTATCTAGCCTGTCCCTTCAAATCCCACGATACAGCCTTAATGCAGCAAAGCTATTAAAGAAAGATAGATTGACTATCTAATTACAATTTCGAATTTAAGTCTGCTCAGCATAGAGGTTCTCTCTTAGGGTTAAAATCGTCTATGTTGACACCCCCCTCCAATTCTCGAACGCTAATGCGTGAATTTCCTCTATACTGCGAATAAATAATATTTGAAAGTCTAGAGCTACTCGGCATACTAATACTATCTAAGGTTACTCGTCAAAGTCTGCGCCACCCTACATATCCCTGACGTGCGTTTCGCTTATCAGCTCATCAGAAGGAAGCCGGGGTCCTTAACCTCCCGGTCTTTTAAGGGAAATACCCTATTACTATTGGTGACCGTTATTTTTGAATCAACCAATGAAAGAGAAGATACTCATCTGTTGCTAACTAACGTGATCGTTAGATTAAGAACGGGTTGATTAACCCTTTCTATTTTGATCACTGAAATAATCAGAAAAGTTAATAAAAACAATATAAATAAATAAGGAAAAGATCTATTTTAGTATTGTGCAAAGTTATTGCCAGCTTTAAAGAAATGGTTATTGTGAATTGTGTAATTTCTCATAATAATCACCCTTTTTAGAAATGTATAAATCAATGTTCTATCTTTCATGAGGTCATTTCTCGTGGCAAAGATATCTGAGCTATGTCCAATATGCCATCTATCATAGATATAATCTTAGGATTGTGAACTATATAAATACGGTCCAATTTATTCCTGGGGATACTACACTTTTTCTCAGGGATTTTAGAATGCTATTATATGAGACAGATGTTTCAGTCGCGTCCCCTGGATGATATTGTGCCTACATTGCCTGTGATTACATATATCCTTCTAAGATCGTAGAATGTACTCAAACACAACAACGTTTTGTCAACAAACAATTTGTTAACTGTTCCACCACAAAGGTAGTTTATGTAATTACATGCAGTTGCAGCATACAATACGTGGGAAAAACGTATCAACAGTTTAGAAGACGCATACTGCAACACGTTAATTCAGTTACAAATATCAACATATCTACTCCTGTAGCGAATCACATTAGAAAACATCATAACAGTGATGCGTCAAATCTCAAATTTCAGGCTATTGAACAAATATCTCTTAATTCTAGGAAGGGCAATTTTAATCTCAAATTATTAAAACAAGAGTCAAGGTGGATACACACCTTTAGAACACTGACCCCTAGGGGTCTGAATGAAGAATTTAATTTCACCCCTTTCATCCATGGATAGAGATTCTGAACATTATCTATAAAAACCAAGTTCCGATTCATGAATAATTTCGTTAAGTATTTTTAACTTGATAGACAAATTGGTCCCTTTCATAAATGGATTCCAATGATTCAAGAGTCAGTATAAGAATATACGTGCATAGGGGTTTAGACATACATACTGAATGTAAAGTATATTCAGGTTGATAATTATTAACACGGTTCAGCCCCCACTCAAATAACTGACTTTTTCTTTATGAATAAATCTTGATCAAGTAGAGTTTCTTATTTATGAAAGAACTTTCAACATTTGTATTTATTAATTTAATTGATACGGTCCTAGTATCTTTAATACATGATTAACACACTATTAATTTATATTAGGTTGATACAGAGATCGAGATTTCGATATAATATTTCGGTGTCTGTCATTAACGGCAAAGGATGAGGAAAGTGTTAGAAAACAACGAGTAGCTTACTGCAGTATTATCTAAAGTTGGGTTACATTTAATCCGGTAAATGTAGAATAGTATCGCTAAACAATGTAGGCACAATATCATCCAGGGGACGCGACTGAAACATCTGTCTCATATAATAGCATTCTAAAATCCCTGAGAAAAAGTGTAGTATCCCCAGGAATAAATTGGACCGTATTTATATAGTTCACAATCCTAAGATTATATCTATGATAGATGGCATATTGGACATAGCTCAGATATCTTTGCCACGAGAAATGACCTCATGAAAGATAGAACATTG